AACTCCTTAGGTTTTACAATCGAATTTTGTTCGAAATTTAGTAAATCTTTCTGATAACTTACAAAATCTTTTATTCCTAAATTCAACAAAAATGCTATATATTAGGTTGGCGGGAAAGTCTTTGTCACTTTTTCAATAGTTTATTTCTCAAAGAAAAAATAACCGAATAATTAATTATATTGTCCATCATTATCAACAACATGTCTCCAACGTTCCCTCAATTTATGGATTCCATTGCGGTAGAATCCAGCCGGGCGTGAGGCAAAGTATTGTTTGAGTGCCGCTTCGACCGCTCCACGGGAATTGAAGCTTCTTCCTTCGAAGGCACGTGTCATATCGCCAAATAACCAATAGTCGGAAGGAGCAAGATCAGGAGAATACGGGGGGTGAGGGAGAACATTCCATCCATATCCCATCAGCTCCTGCTTCACTTGTTTCGAAACATGTGGGCGAGCGTTATCATGTTGATAGTACACTTTCTTGTCTTTCAGGGCCGAACGGTCGACTGCTTTCTTGAGGTTTCGTAGTTGAGTAGTGTAGAGGTCTCCAGTTATTGTTTTGCCCTCGGGCAGAAGTTCCCAGTAGATGGGGCCGTCCACTCCCCACCACACAGAGAGCATAACTTTTTTCGGATGAAGGTCGGGTTTTGGGACATCCTGTGGGCTCTCTCCTTCTCCAACCCACTGGGATTTCCTGTGGTGATTATCGTAGAAGACCCACTTCTCATCTCCGGTTATTAGCCGGTCCAGCCATCGATCGCCCGCGTGGAGAGTGAGAAGAGTAATCGAATCGTCGACTCGGCGGTCAAGGTTGGCTTGAGTCAGGTGATGAGGTATGAATCGACCAAAAAGTTTTCTCATTCCAAGAGACTTCAAACCTTCAAGGACTGTGCTATGGTGAACTCCGAATGTGACAGCTAGTTCACGGCTAGATTGAAATGGATCCGATTGCAATGCGTGCTTCAGCTTGTCCAAATCCAACTCACGGGGTCTCCCAGAGCGATCCTTTTCATCGAGCGAGAAGTCATCTTTTTCGAAACGATGGAACCAATTGCGAATAGTATTGTAGTGAGGGGCATGTGTGTTGTACACATTCTTCAAGAAAGTTTCCGAATCCTTCATCGTGGTGTGAGATAGGAAGAGGTAAATCAAAACATGTCTGATGTGAATAGCAGTGGGAACAAACATATCGTTTCAATTACAGATGAGGAGCAGGGAAGGAAATGGGGACTTGTTTATATGGAAGGTTCTTATCACCTTGTTATTCACTAGAGTCGATATCATACACAGCCTCCATATACGAGAACAGTGATTAAACAAACAGAGTGACAAAGACTTTCCCGCCAACCTAATAAAAGTTATCTGAAATTTTTTCAATATTAATAATTTTGAAATTTCGGACTTTTATTTTTATTCAGAAAAAAAGAGACCGACTTATCCTACACAGATTGTATATTGGAACCACAATTGTTTCCCGAAATTCAATATTTTTACAAAATTGTTTTCCCGATTTTAGCACAGAAGTAACCATTTCTTGAAGTAAACTGTCTCCTACCAAAGTACACAATTTATTTCCCCGTTTTGTCGTCAGCCGTCTTCCAAGCACGACGAGGGAATTCGTTGACGTCGATCGGGGTTAAAATTCCCTAATTACCAGTTGGATGTAGATGTTTACACCCTATAACATGTGCTATCTACGCACGAATTGATATTCTTGGATCAATTATAATCACCCAGTGATCTGATGGGAACAAATTGAAATCTAGAAATCGGACCATAGCTGACGCATAGTGCATTATGAAAAAATGCACTTTTGAATATTATCTTCGAACTACGTCAAACGTGCTCACTAGGCTTGTTAGGTTGAACGTCAGTCTACAAGAAGAAACACATTCGATGGCACTGGAAATAATAAAGGATATTTCTGCGAGAGTCCATTTTATATTTACATTAATACAAAAATAAAATACAATGAAAATGTACCATAATAAATAGAAAAAGAAGCGATCATCAATTAAACAATACAATTCACAAGAAAAAACATCTAAATCAAAAATTGTTGATAATCCATGGAAATGACTGGTCTCAAAGATGTGGCGATGTTGTGACGAATTCCTTGGATTTTGGCTGAAGTTTTTTTTTTAACTTTAAAAAGTAAATTTGTCGTCGAACCGGTAATACTTCGATTTTTACTTCATTAAAAAAAAACATTAGACTTCCTACTATACAAAATGCACCTAGTTACCATAATTCTTGATCTTGTTTCGGAAGTTAAAGATCAAACTTTCTCGAAACTTTTTTCATTTCCTAAAGAAAAAAAATTTTATGTCAACTTCAATTTCCGGTATTTGTGAGGGTGGAAAACCTCCGAAATTCTCTCTACTTGTTATTTGAGTTCTGAATCATGTACACCATGCGTGCTAACCTTCCGGTTAAGCTTCCGAATCAAAAAACCTTCAGGAAAAGTTTTAAAAATTGTATTTTGTTCGGAAATGGATGGACACAGTGCTCAAATTTTTTAACTGACCAGGACGAAAATCGTTGCTGGAAGGGAGCGAAGAGCTTGTTGGAGCACTGAATCGGCGATTTGTGCAGACCTGAAAATTTTAAATAAGAGAATGTTCGCTATGATTGAATAAAATACTTGAGCGAAATTTTCGGGAAATTGAGACGACCGGCACTGAGAGCCATGACGACTACGGTCACTCTTCGCGTGGCACCAGGAAGCACTGTGACGGTGATCTGAAAAAAGTTTAGTTGGTATTGAGTTCCTAAATACTGAAGAATACTCAAGAAACTAGGCTGTATAATCTCAATAATTTTAGGAACAATCCCACTATTGGATCTCTGAATTATTTAGTAACCCTCGAATCTTTGTTACTCTGAACCCTTTAACCTCCATTCTATCCGTTTCATACATTCTTCTTGGTCTTTGAGCTACTAATTTTGTTATTGTTTTTAGTATGGTCCTCCTAGATTTCTTCATCTCACACACGGCGACGTTCTTCTCATTTACCTTACTCCAGACATCATAATCCGCTTACGTTTGCCAATTTCCTCTTAGTGACAGCTCTTGCGCATGGCGACAGGGAAGTTGTCGTTTGAAAACATGGTAACGAGGGACTTGACATCCAGGAACGGGCATTCGGATCTCTGACCTTTCGACACAAAGACATTCCAGAAGATCAAAACACTACAGAAGCCGGTAATTAATCTTGTCGACTTCAACAAAGTAATTTTAGGAATACCCAACTGTACATAGCTTCATGTCGGCGATTTCCAGCAATTCAACTGTTGCCACACTTCCTTATTTGATCTCAATCTCCTTCCTGGGCGCAGACACATCAATCTAAAGTATCCATACCCGTGCCCTTGCGGTAAATCTGGTGGTCCGTTCCGCCCATACCAAAATAATTAATAACCGAACAGACGTGAGAGAGATGAGGGATAAAGATGTCTGAGACCATAATTAGATAAATTGTCTCGCTTTGTCAAGAGGAAAGATTTCGTCGTATGTGAAACGTTATTTCCAAAATTATAAACATGAAGGGAACCGGAGAATGCAACCATGAATGATATATGCATTTTCTGGACATTCCTGCTTCAAACATCTGCCACGGACGTTTTCACCCGATGAAATAGTATCTCTTCATTCAAATATCTTTATCTTGATCGAAGAGGTATTATTATTTATTGACAAACGACATACCCTGAAAGGGTTTATCTTTTTGCCTTGTAGCTGCACAAGATGATATTTATTATTGGGAATTGTAATTATCATTAGCCACGTGAAAGATTGTGGAACGCACAAAATGACAGTGAAGGTGAACCTGACTAGACTGTCTCATAACATATCACACTGTGTTAAATATCTGTGAGAAACTGATCTTAAGCAAGAAGAACTATGGGCTTAGCCAAAGTTTAAAAGTTCACCAAACCAATCTTATAAAGAATCAGCAAAAAAGTTGGCTTAAAATTTTTAAAGGTTTTCGAACATTCTCACACTATTTCGACTATTTCTTTTTTTCTCACACTGATTTTTCAAGACATTTTTCGTGAGTCCCGGAATCCATATGAATATTACCTTTCGCTCTCCACTGAACATGAACACGTCGTTGAGGTCGAAATTGGTGCTCACCTCGATTACCTGAAACTTTTAGGGATTGGTTCTCAACTTCCGTTTCCTACTGATTCATCACTTGTTTTTAAACGCTCTGGGACTGGTTTACCTAGGACTAGATTGATACTGGGACTCTTCTACATCGAAAATGGAAGTTAAAACAAAACAGAGTGGTTTGTGAGGGCGTTGGTATGTAGTCTAGAATGTCAAAATGATAATATATATATTTGTATATTGTTACGAAGGCTGGTTAACAGAAAATTATCTATTGGGCCTTCTGTATGAGCTCACAGTATTATTAGCATGCGACTTACCTCCTTCGAGTGATTTCTCAGCTCAAAACTGATGTCGATGGGTTGTCGTACCACTGCCGGATTGGTCTTGATGTGGTTGGTGATCGATAGTGGACAGGGCAGCACAGGAATTCGAAGCAGGGGCACGATGGAGCGGACTGGGCACGAGTCCGGGGAAGAACTGAAATAATGGAAGTAATTGGAATCGGATCGGAACTTGATAATCTGAGGACCTAATTTAGGACTAATTAAGGACTCGAAAAATATAATGAAAAATATGGAAGTGTCAGAAGAATTGATATTCTTCAGAACAATCCAACTTATCAGTTTCAAGTTTTTTAAAACATTCGATCTTCACCACTCTTCAACTAAAATCGCGAGAATCTTCTACTGAGGATCTTCGTGATCATCTATACAAGAATCTCTCATCGACAACATTGTCCGATTGTGTAATGCTCCGATCTTTTGTCTTCGACGACTATAATCTACTCATTTGTTAAGAATTGTACCCATCAATCCCATCCAAACATTATCTTTCTCCAACTTTTCTCTTCTCGATCATTATTTCTTCCCGAAGCTTCTTCCCAAAGCTCTTTCCAGAAAATATTCAAAGAGCGGAGTTTCTGACTACTAGTGATCGTTGTTCCGTGCGATTACTCATGCAAGATTGAGAATCCATTTCGGGATTGTAGTGATCACGGGTTACGGTAGTAAAATAGGGTACGATTTCCGAATGGAAGTATTAACTGGTTAGCAAATAACAAATCTTGTTTTCCACAACAGCCGTTTGATTTCCATCGGAATCGAGAAGAGAAGGGAGAGTATGAAGAACAGAATTCTGTGAAACGTCAAAGCAAATCATTCACTGACAATAAGAAGGAATGTTGCTCTTATGTTCAAGAAGCATCCAGTGTATATAATGTTTTACAGCCCACCTATACTGTAGCCTTTATTTTTAGACCCTTCTAAATAAAATTACGGTGATATTACCACCTCATCACACTATACTGATCACCTTGCGAATTTGCTTGAATTATTTAGACACCTGTTTTTCTTAATATTTTGTCTATTCCAAGTCTTTCAATGACATCAACTATTCTTGGACCTGATCTTCTAACTACAGTGAATATCACGAGTTTCAACCCACACGGCTCACAAAAGAAGAGCAGAAAACTATTTCCTGTGTGTTACCTTCAGATTATAACCACGAATAAACACGCTTTCGGGAAGAGTTTTTCGAGCGGAAATGCACCGGATATTGTTGGCATTTTAAACACCGAAAAGAAGGTTCTAGTTTCGAGTATTCAACTATTGGTCTTCAGAATTCATAGGATCTAGGAATGAGCAAAAAAGCCGATGGGGGAGTAAAACCAATTAAACAAGGGGTTGATCGGATCGGTTCGAAGAACTGCATACGATCTCGCAAATCAGTGGTTAAATTTTCTTGACTTCTGAACTATCCAGTAATTGGTCTTTGATGCCAGTTCGTTTTTTTTTGTTTCATTTCCTAATTCAGGTTTTGCATATTTAGTTCTAGCAACAGTCTAGTCACACTTTTTGCCCAAATATGGTTCTCTTTTTACCACAACTTTACTTGATTTCTTCGCCTTTGTTTAATCAAGAGTTGATAACTAAAGTTCCAAGAATATCAACTAGTGAGTAGGTAACGTTGCACGTAAACATGCGTAGTTAACTGCCAATTATCCCCATCGACGTCAATAAATCCCAAAGCACCGTCACGAGTAGTTACGTTGAAGGTAACCGGAAGTAAATTTCTTCAACACTTTTTCAGTTGGGGACTGTTGGAGCATGGAAAGATAGGGATAATCCAAGAATAAGTTTAAGATTATTGATGACACTTTGGATCAATTTTGGGGAACCAAAAATATCTGTTCGCGACGGATAATTCAACTTTACTTGGCTTTACCAAAAGTCTAAAAATTCAATGCTTTGCCGTTGCTCACCTCCCTGTCAGAAATCGAAGGAACTTCCACCGCCACTTTTCAGGGATCCCAGAGTTCACAATGATCAACAAATACCTAGATCACAGCCAACAACAACAACACAATCTTATAAGTTATTTATCAAGCGGAAGGAAACCATAATGTTTGACACATCATTAGCTAATCACAAAGTGTATCGTGTAAGAAGTTATTTAAATGAATACTTGAATGATTGAACCAACAATTGCAAAACTGTAGTAACACTGCTCCTAATAGTCTCTCAGAATTTGCTAAGCAGTATCTCGTTCACATACCTTCTCGAACGACCAACCCTTTCTCATGGTTGCACCTTTTACAATTCTCATCTACATTTTTTTTTAAAGACAACAGCTCTATGAGTCACACCCTAAACACACCTCTCATCTCTTCCATCTTCTTTCTTTGAAATGTAGTCATTTCAATTAATTTTCTGTTAATCTCACACCTTCTATAGTACTACAAACAACGATACATTTTCTGGTAAATCAACAACTGGTTATGATTATTTGTTGTTTATCACTCGTGACTTTTTCCATTTTCTTAATCCTTAAATTATCTAGTCTCAACTGGTGCTGGCCAGCAGAAGAAAAGAGGGATCACACGAAAAGCCTTTTGAGCATACTTGTAAAATTCCGGACCGGCCCGCCAAAGCCCGGGCCCGGGCCGGGCCTGAGGAAATTTACAAGGCCCGGACCCGGTGTCAAAAATTCTGTATTTTTGAACCAAATTTTGAGCTCTCAATATAATTTTTTCCATTTTTTTTTTTCGTATTTCGGATTGTTTGTCTGTCTGATCAAAAAAGATCGAAAAACTCAAAAAAAATTTTTTTTGTCGAAATAAAAAAGGGTCCCCCCTTATGTGTTTTTTGAAAATTTCGAAATTAGTGAAATGACGGGCCCGCCGGGCCTCCGAAATTCCGGAAAAAGCCCGGCCCGGCCCGTTACAAGTATGCTTTTGAGTGATTATTCCGAGTGAAGAAAGAGTGAAGACTTAATGTTGACAACTAATCTGTTAACATTCAAAAGTTCAGAAACTAACAGATTATTAAACATTGTAAGGGTCTGCAAGACCCTTATTACTCGGTTTCCCATGTAATCGGTTCTACTGTTTTTAGTCTGATTCCTTAGCGCCACTACGTGCCTTTCTCTCTGGACTTTGCCCCAAGAGTCATGAAATACCATTCTTACATGTGACATATTGGCTCTAAGAGATCAAGATAGAGATTCCCAATCCTCCAGTCCCTCTACAGTCTCTAAACCCTGAATCATCCCGAATTCCAATCTATTTGTCAGCATTTCTGTAACCCCGCCCCAAATTCCATTTATTCCCCGTTTGTATATAAGCCCATTCATGTAACCCTAAAGTCACGATTACACCTTATTTTTTTGTACAGGGCACAAGTCGCCCTTTTCCCCTAAACCAAACCTAAGATTAGAGAATAAGCCCATTTCATATCCATGAACTCTTATTACATGGAGGGAGGCGAGTGGGCTGGGCTTTATGGGTGGAACAAATAATACAGATTAGTAGAAGTTTTAAATATACTAATCCTAATAACGAAAGTTCGAAAAATTGTTGATTTTTTGACATGGAATTAGAAAGGAATCAGGCTCTAGCAATAAACGACTCGCAAAAATACTTCAGGGATTCCGATCTCAGATTATTCAGACGTTTATGTAGTGTATTACCGTCTCCACTCGACACACATCCGACCAAGTGGCGTCTCCGTTTCCTCTTCCTTTACCATAACTCGAATGACGGCCGAATAAGCCATCACCTCTCCGGCTTCTACGACATCTGGAAAACCAAAAATGCAGACTTTTCGGAATAACTTTAAAATACCGTTCAAGTCCTTGCCGGATCCTCCATTCTTCGTGTCGCAAAGCGTGACCACGTCAGCCATCAGAAACTCCACAGAACTAATTACGATGGAGCTTCCGGATTCAATAGCTACGTTCAGAATGTGATCATTATTATTCAGAATCGATGACATCGGAATTCCGTTAACGTTGAGAACGGTGGAGGTGACTGAGAACGGTTCTGTAGCCGTAACGCCTACTTCCACAAGCGTGGTTTTCGTTTTGGCGACGTCTTCAGAAGTGTAGGAAAGCTCTAGTTGAAGCACGTATTCGCCGATGAGTTGAGCGGAGAACATCAGAGGGAATGTGACCTGAATTTTATTTTTCGAAGAACCAATGGTTTCATAATTCCTGAAATTTACAAAACAACCGGACCAATTTAATCCACTTTTTCAGAACCCTATTAACTTTATTGACAACACATCATTGCCTATTCTTGTTTCGATACTAAACCACGGCACCTTCTGAATCATCTTTCGAATCAGTTCAAAACATCTAAAAATGTTGTACGAATCATTAGGTCAATTTTAGCCTTATCACGTCATATTACTAAATCATCTTCTCTAGAATTTCAAAATCGCTGACACAATTTGTACTATTCCATCATCTATCTCTAAATTCGGCACTTTCGCCAGTGAATTCAAGAATTCATTGACGTCTTTCGCGGAGAAGTCATCCCATTGGGATTCTCGTCATTTTCGAAACTTATATTCTAGCTTGTTATTGCCTATACGAAATTTGTTATGATGATTTGAGGGATCTAAATTTTGTCTCACATAGAAATCGAGCGATTCTGAAAACAATAAACAACACGTAAGCAATCCCAAGTGGTGCAATGAGAATGGGAAATAAAAAGGGATCGCATTTTTCTCGGTGAATAAAAAAGGGAAGTAATAGTAAGAATGAGATATTCGAGGTTCCTGGTAAAAACTAACCACTTCTCCTGCATCGAACTTCTCATAAATTGTCATCGAAAACTCGGATTTCAGCTCATTTCCATCCTTTTCCACGAACAACACGGCAGCCGCTTCCGTGTGCTTCTGCTCTTTTCTTTTAAAATCCAACTGAAGACCGTAGAATGATTGCTTCGAGTTGTTCTTCAGCGTGATTTCGGTGCTTGTCACCTCTCCTATCAGACAATCCACATTGATGGTTTTTTTCAGTTCAATCGACGCCTTCTCTCCTCCTATTCTGCAGAATAAATATTTTTTTAATTCTATCAAACGGGACCCACTTTAAAAATTCCAAGCCGACAATGTTCTCAACGTGGCAATTGCGATTCAACGCATTCTCATCGAATTCCACATCTCCACGAACGCCCGTTCCCATACTTAGAACTACTTTTGACACCGTCACTATCCAATTTTGTTTCGCATCTTTCAGATCCACAAGAACGACACGTTGCATCGGAGAATCAATGTTGACATCTACAGGTCCCAAAGGAATCGGGTCGTAGAGAAGGAAATCGGTTTCAGTGGTGGTGGATGCGGAATCTTGTGGAAACTTCTTTGCTTTCAGGTGCACTATCACATTGTTGAGTCTGGAAATAGTCAAAAGCTATGAATCAAACAACGTTCATTTCTTTTGAGCAGTTGTTTTATTGGTGAACTGTTACTTAACACAAAACAATATTCAACCCTATTAACTTTCAATGATTATATCCACCTGAACATTTGTCCAATTTTCGAAATCAGCTCCACCCTCACAACTACTCTCGATCCCTGCTCTACAGTCTGTTCATCTAGAAACGAGACACGTGTCTCCAGAAAGAGCTCAGCGATTTTCGAGGCATGAACGACAAACGGATCTCGAGCTTCTTTAATCACTTGTTGGAATTGCGTTTGGTATGTGAGTAGCTGCAAAAAGAGAACAACTCTATTTTCATTGTTGAGCAAGCTGACCAGTCAACAATAATAACAGTCTGAATGAAAAACTGCCTACCTGATCTTTTGAAATATCATCATTTGGGAAAGGCGCTCTTGGTGGTTTCCCTTCCAGCAAATCCATCAAACAACCAACACAGTCCGATGGTAAAACTTCGGAATAAGCTGGACACATTAGTTGCATACAGCAGATCGCAAAATCCTGGATACTAGTGATCGCGTAGGCAGCCCACGTTGCACGATGCATCATATCCTTACGAATCGAGTACGGTAGAGCATTATCCTTGATGACCATTCCCCAGAATCGAAGTGCTCGTTGAATTTCATTGTTGGCATAACAGGTATTAGCCATTTCCATCATCACTTTTTTCTTCATTCTCATACATCCATACTTCTGATATTGAGCTAACGCAGCGGACAAAAGTGTAATGACACCTTCATGATTCACTACTAGTCTCTGTGTGATTGCGTTGACAGCATCTGCTTCCACTTCTGCACTTGCCAATCCTTCACAGTTAACTCTCCATGGTCGTTGACCAAAGAATACTGTACTTGAAGCTTTAGCCAATGGGTCTGGATTAGGGTATGGCACATTTTGAGGTGAATTTCGTTTTAAAGCCAAGATTTCTGTATTGGCTGCTGCATAAATTCCGGCGGCTTGATCCAAATGTGTCCCAGGATTCAACGTAGCAAGTGCTGAAAGACCACTGGCCACGGAACGTTCGAAAAGATGAGCGAATTGGTAGCACTGTTTAGATTTCCAGAGAAGAAGCTCAACAGATGCAAGATGAGGAGTTGGGTAGATTCCTGGAGCTGATGAGAAAAAGATTGTGGCGTGTCGGCGCATTTGGTTGATCGCTTCAAGTGCTGTGCTGTGTAGGAAGGCTAATTCACACATCTGCAATGGGGAAATATAATTAACATTCGAAATTCAGAGTTCTCATGTCCAAATAAAGAATGTATTAACTTCTGTATGATTTTTCCCTAATTGGAATAAAAACAATGAGAAATCAGCCGGGGTTTTAACTAAATTTGAAACTAATTTGAAATCAATATAACTGTCAAATCTAATGAGTTGGAAGCCCTTCTATTGCAGGTTTTCAGATGATCTCCATTCGCGTTTTTCAAAGGGAATTTTTCAAAACTCACTTTATAGTTCAGCAATCCAACAACACTTCTCCATTCAAAAACATCGACACCATCCCATTGTTCGACAGTGTCCTTACACTGATCATAAGCCAGCCTATAGTTTCTCAATGCTGTATGTGTATCTTGTCTGAGTTCTGAGAGAAACGCCAGTTTGAATTGTTGACGAACAACGAGAGCCGGTGAATTATTCGGAATGCTTCGAGATCTGATAGTTTTGAGTCGTTGATGATAGAACACTTGACACAGTTCATGAAAAGCCATCTCAAGTTTCAGAGAGAAGTTTTGGAGATTCGACATAGAATTCGGAAGTAGATTGTCGGCTGACAAGATGAAGAGTTGCTTTGATGATAGAGAGCATGCTTGACACAGTTCGTGGGCTCTGTCGGCTGCCAGGTTGTCACTGACATTAGTAGATCTGAAAAATCGAGAAAATCTATTTTCCAGTTAACTATTTTATTCTGCACGCTCTCCCAGATAACATTTCCGAACTGCAAATTAATTTTTTGATCTACAGAAAAAAGTTTGGCGCGATCACAATTGCAGGAACCATAATTTCAGAATTTTTTATCTGATTTTGTGGAGTTCCAAGATGATTCAAATAATTCTAAAAAATTAATTAGTGGTTATAGATTCATGTATGGTCCTTTTCCGGAAGAAAAAATGTCAAAAATGGTCATTTTTGAAAGTTTTTTACAGAAAAAATCTATCTCCTCTTTCAGAAAAATCGCATTTTTGCGTTGTTTTTTGATTATAAAAAAAAGTTTTATCAGACGAATTAAAAATTCATCCATAGAAAATGTAGAGAAAATAATTGCGGTTTTTTTGAGTTATAGAACTCCTAGAAATGTCAAAAACTGAAAGAGGAGATAGATTTTTTCTGTAAAAAACTTTCAAAGATGACCATTTTCGACATTTTTTCTTCCGGAAAAGGACCATACATGAATCTATAACCACTAAATAATTTTTTAAAAATTATTTGAATCATCTTGGAACTCCACAAAATCAGATAAAAAATTCTGAAATTATGTTTTTAGACCTGCAATTGTGATCGCGCCAAACATTTTTTTCTGTAGATCAAAAATTAATTTGCAGTTCGGAAATGTTGCAAAAGAAAAGCCGTATGCTGGCACTGTTCGGAAAATGGGTTTCTGAAAGTCTCCATATTAATTTTTTTTCGATCTGATGATCGCTTTCATTTCTTCCAATTTTATGACTATTCAGCTGTCCCGTGCTACTCATGATTTTGAAGTTTTTCTTTTTCTCTCACTTTTGCTGAATCAGAACCAACGCGACCTTCGTTCCATGTCGCAACGAGGCTCGGATACTGGCTACTTTGCTCTCAGCCTCCGTTTTCTTATCTTCCCATGATGGGTGATTCCAATCGAGATCAATGAACACCACAATCAATGCTGGCACCTTATCCAGATACTTTGAAGGCCACTCGCGCCGAAGGATTCCTAAAGTTCTACCGTTTTCCAGATTTAGAACTCTTTCAGATCATTTGGTTGCGTCTTCTAACCTTTATCCAACCCTTTCTCATCACGCTTCGGTGGAATATCCAGTTCCCCGGAAACGACACGGATTTGAAGAGGCGGTTTTTCTGCTGTACGATTGAGGAAGACATTCACTACGTTACTGTGGTGAGGTTTGTTGGCTGGATCCAACCCGGAGAGAAAAACAAGTTGAAGAGGCCGACCCGCTATCCAGTCGCCAGCTTCTATTGGATCCATGACTACTGTGAAGAGAACACTATGACTACTCAAAATATCGGTTGACCTAGATAAAGTCTTCACTTCCAGAGTTGAAACCGTCGTTTTATTATATTCACAAGAATCATAACATGTACATTATGCCAACAATTTATTCACTGAAGACATGGGATGATAACAACAACAATAGTGGAGCAGCCGTTGACGACTTGTGGACCGTGGGAGCCTAGTCGAGCTGAAAAAACAGTGAAATTGGTAAAGTAATGAGAACGGTAAAGTTCTAAGTGTCTGCCAATCTTGAACAGTAGCTCTACGAAACGATACTCCTGTCTTCGAGATGTCAGTTTTATCTTGCAAGCTAAACTAAACGTCGTAAGACACTGGTCTTCGCGTAATGGACACCTGCGTGAATTGAAAAGCGACGGCTCCAAAAAACGAATTTATTACCTTCTTGAATCCAATGTCCTTGGCCTGCTCGCGGAAGCATCTACGGCAAAGGTCGAGGCCGTACTTGCGGATGAGTCCGTGGTGTCCAGCGCAGACGCGGCTGAAATTTATGTTAATTAATATTGATCGACTAGAAAAAATTAGCTAACTCTTCGAGTGCTTGCATAGGAGAATAACTTACCAGGAGCGGGATCCTGGTCCGAACTTGCGTGGGTGAGAGAACCACAAATTTTGGAAACCCATGATGAGCTGAAAAACGAGTTTGATCGATAATTTCAAGACAAACAAGAAAAAAACGGATAAAATTGAGAAAATCTCAAATCTATGAGCGAAAAAAAAAATCTACAGCCAGCTTAAAACGTTATGTTGTGAGTAATAATTTTGCAAAAAAAGCGATAAGAAAATTTCATATTCCAGAAGAAAGTCAATAAAACGAAAAAATGTGTATTTTAAAGAGGTTTTCCATTAATTTTTCTCTTACAAATGAAGACTAGCTGAAACTATCGAAAAGTACTTCTAAAAATCGTATTATTTTAGCAAAAAAATACGAAAAATCGTGCGAAAAAGTAGGCCAAAAGAAGAAAAACAGCGAAATGTGCAGCACGTTTCGGTCGATAGGTACGGTCGCACTCGTTTTCTGTGTGTCGCTCGTCGCGTCGAGACCCGCCAGTGAGACTCCGCCCTCTCAATTTTGGAGGGAGGAGTCGCGCTTTTGAATAGAAAGAGAACAAGAGGAAGACGAGCATTCCGTGCTTCAGGATTGTGTTTTTAGACTGAAAAGTACCTCATCGCCATAATCAAAATTGAGTGATCTGGAAATCATCACCCTGTGTCTTCATATTATGTAGATTGCCTGCTTTTCTAACCCATTTCCGTAAAACATTCACTGATAACGAAAACGAAACATATACTACTATCATATATTTTTTCTAATCGAGTATTCGACCATGTGGGCGACCGGTGCGATAGTTTGCTCGCCGGTTTTCCGCATTCTGACAACTTGCTGTCCGATTCGTCGTGTACCGACGTCGTCGAATGGGGTGAGTCCTGCTTCTCAAAGACTTTCAAAAAACGAGTCAAGTAAAAAAGAGAGTGAATTAACTTCTTTTTTTACTGCCGGGTCGTTAAATATAGAGAGTACTAGTGTAGAGTTTTAAAGGAGAGTGTTGCAATAGCTCATCAAAAATTCATTTGTTGTCATCCCCCCCCCCCCCTACCCCCCCCCCCCCCCATTTCTGTCCCTTCACATATCATTCGAGCTATGACGTGGAAAACTGACTGTTAGAAAATCGATGTGGGTGACGTGCCGGAATGTGCTAAGCTTTCAGAAGAAGTTAAATTTCCACATCCCCACACAAGAGAAAATAAGCTGAAATCCCTCATCTTCGCCACCAAATTCCTGTGGCGATTCGTCAGAACGCAGGCAAAGATTTGTCTGAAAGACAACGTAGAAAAGCATACTTGTAACGGGCCGGGCTTTTTCCGGAATTTCGGAGGCCCGGCCCGGACCGGCGGGTCCGTCATTTCACTAGTTTCGAAATTTTCAAAAAACACATAAGGGGGGACCCTTATGTGATTTTTTTCGACCAAAAAATTTTTTTTCGAGTTTTTCGATCTTTTTTGATCAGACAGACAAACAATGCGAAAAACGAAAAAAAAATGGAAAAATTATATTGAGAGCTCAAAATTTGGCTCAAAAATACAGAATTTTTGACACCGAGCCTTCCGGGCGGGGCCCGGGTCTTGAAAATTTCCTCAGGGCCGGCCCGGCCCGGAATTTTACAAGTATGTAGAAAAGGAAGTCATAGGTCCTTCAGAATGTCGTCTTCGTCGTGCCAAAACGACATCGGAAACAATTCATAAAATAAAACATCGTTGATGTGTGTATGTCGTTGTTAGTCGCTTCATCTTCTACCAAAAAAGAACATGACACGCCAATACAGCAACAACACGATGATGAGATGTGTGTATATGTCGTTTTTTATTGGAATAGGAGCTCCGGAAAATATGAAGATGAAGAAGCATCAGAAAAAAGTATTCTATTCGGAGAAGAAAAGAGATCAAAGAGGACTACCGCTTGTCTCATTTGCATTTCTTCAGATCGTCTCCGAAAAAATGAAATTTGAAATTCGGAAAAAAAAATATTTTTTTTTTGCATCAATGACGACGTCATGCGGAACGCGCCCATAAAGTGCGGGAAACGAAGAAGAGTCGAGAAAATTTTGCGTTTTGATGGGTCACAAGCATACTTGTAAAATTCCGGGCCGGGTCTGAGGAAATTTTCAAGGCCCGGGCCCGGCCCGGAAGGCCCGGCCCGTTACAAGTATGGTCACAAGGAGTTTAAGAGAAGGTGTGAAGTGGCGCGGCAAAGTGTGACATATAATTAGGTCGCATGTATTAAGCCACGTGTCAAATTGAAATTTTATGGTCTAATGGATTATCACAGGTTTCTAATAAGTAAAACAGAATCATCGAGTTCCGAATCTTCAAGTTTTCTTGAGATTTTCTTTAGAAATATTTCAATCCCAGAACAGGGAACAGTTTTTCGCATTTATTACAAAGGTTCTCCGAATTCGTTTTTCTTCCAAGTCTCTAGAAATGTCTCTGATTAACTTGGTGTGACTTGAAAATAATCTCCCTTCTTCTTCTTCACACCCGAAATTTCCTGAAGAAAAAACGAAGAAAAAATGTGAGAAAAACGAAACCAATTCCAATTCCACCTGCACACACAACCACACACAATAAAGAAAGATTTCTTAGGAAATTGGAAGCGTTTTTGATGCACGATGACGTCATCATCGAGGATCTCTTACATTTTACCTTAACCTTCTTCTGGATAGACTAAAAGACATATTTGTGTGACATCTCTCTTAATCAATTTTTCTGGCACCACCAAATCCTTACTAATCCTCTTTTCTGATCAACTCCGATATAATGATAAAATAAGATAATCCGGAGGCTCTTCTGTGTGTGCGCGAAAAAGATGTGAAGAGAAGATGAAGACATTGAAGAAGAAGAAGATAAATCTAATCTGCTTCTGCTCGGGAAAAAATTTTGGGAGTGTGTGTTAGGCAAAAAATAGTGAAAAGGGGAGAAATGATAAGGGAAAATTCCTGGACCAAACTGAAGATGTCCACACTATGAACTAAAAATTCGAACACATATTTTCAGTACGTTTCTCGTCCAAAACAAGTTGATGTTGGTAATGTTGGCTCCATGCCAATTCTATCCTCGAAAGCTGTAACAGTACAGCCATCAAACGGTGACTACTATGAACCAGTGAACGGTGGTACAATACCACTGTCAGCTAGTGGGGCACCTGTGAAACACTATGGAAATATCCACTTTCGAGTGGAATATGATTTCGAGCAGTCGAAGGTATGTGAAAAAACATCTCATCCATGATTTTTTGGTCCAACCTTGTGACGCCTAAGTCACAATGTTTTCGGTTCACATGACTAACACACATTCTAATCTTGCAAGCTTCTTCACTTGGTTGCACTGATAATATCTAAATAACAAGACATTTTTATAAACATGACCTTTTTTCTGAATAATAACGAGCTATTCAGTTTTTATGGAGAATAAGTTCATAAAGATTTGTATACCTAGAATAAAACATTTCCGGGGGTGGAAAATATGAGAAAAGGATTATGTTATATAAGAGGACCAAAATTGGAATCATATAGTTGTCATTGTAGCATATAGGTTTGTAGTTATATTATCTCGGAAAAAGTCACTTTTGAGTGTCTAACTCAGTACCTTTTTGTCCTGGAAAATTGATAGATTATTAAAAAATCTTAAACTTTGCATTTATAGTTGACACCTTTCTATGTAACTTTCCTGGTTTTAAAGACATTCTTGATTGAAGATTGGGTACTGGGAGTTCGGGAAGAAGCAAAAGGAGCATATGATAGTTAGAGACATATTTAGGAAATTATAAAAACTATCAAAAACAGTCAACTGGAAAAATGGAAACATAAGTTTATACATTTTTGTAGTTAAGTTTTTTTTTTTAATTTTCAGCTTTCCGTAACAATTGTGAGTGCTTCCGACCTGCCCGCTATGGACCGGAACGGAATGTCGGATCCGTACGTGAAAGTGTATGTGCTGCCGGAGAGAAAACAGAAGTTTGAAACCAGGATAATCCGAAATACATTGAATCCAACCTACAATGAAACCTTCCAATTTTCGGTGAGATTTTTTGAAAGTTGTTGACTTCTGATTTTTGAAACAACCTATTGAAGAAATTCAGATCCCATTCAACGAGTTGCATTCTAAAACCTTGATGCTGGTGGTTTACGATTATGATCGATTATCAAAAGATGATAAAATGGGTCAATTATCAGTTCCACTAGATTCCATTGACTTTGGAATTACTACCGACATCGAGAGACCACTACAGAAACCAGAGAAGGATGATGAGGTGGGTAGACTCTGAATCCTTAAAGCTGTCTGCATTTGATTCGATCATCTTACCCGTCTTTTTAAAGAAAACATCTCCTCTGATCCCTCTTCAAAAAAGAAAGACGTGTGTGTATGTGTGTGTGACAGGACCTAAAAAAGAGAAAAAACGAAAAGAGAGCGTTTTAATTTGTATCCATACACATGCCAAAATCCATCTTCTTCCTGTCCTTCTTTCAAAAATTCTTTTTTCATCTTCTTTCGTTTTTTTTGCGTCGTTCAAATATCCGCTTTGACAAGATCGAAATTGGAAAGAAAATGGAAAATATGGGGGATGGAGATTTTTTTGAAAGACATGAAAATAAGGGATGGTTTTTTTCTCGCTGTTTCTGAGAAGAAAAGGACGAAGAGTTAAGGGAATGAAAGTAAAATTTCCAGAAAGAATGTCGTTTGGGTGACATCTGCTTCTCGACACGTTATCGTCCGGCCACAGGTACCGTAACCCTGACAATAATGGAGGCCAGGAATCTGAAAAAGATGGATGTCGGAGGATCGTCAGGTAGGACTGGATTTTTGGGCTTCCTCTGACATCATTTCGTTTCTATTTTTCTTACTACTTTTTTCCTAAAACTACAAACAAACAAAAAACAATTAGGGATGGGGGCACACTCTCTAAACTCAAAAATCTTCTGTTTCTCAACTTTTCTCTTTTCTTTCTCCCGTCAATTTCCCGCTTTCCATGTGACGCATCGTTACTGGAGTAGGTTGGTCTGCGAAAAAATTTGGGAGAATTTGGAATGGAAAAGAGGACAAATACATAAAAAATTTGAGTTGGAAAAGAGGGGAGGGGGATTCTTCTCGAATTTCCTTTTCTTTGCATTTGAAAATTAGGTGTGGAAGTTGCAAATTTTCGTGGGTTCGAAACAAGAAGGGACCAGGAAAAATTGAAAAATTTCAGATCCCTATGTGAAAATCTATTTACATCACGGACGAAAATTGCTGAGTAAGAAGAAGACATCTCGAAAGTACAAAACTCTGAATCCTTACTACAATGAGAGTTTTCAGTTCAAAATTGAACCGCATATGATTGAGGTGAGAAATATGGAGTATTTTTTGAAGCTGAAAACTTTTAAGTCTCTCCAACTTTCAAATCCAAATGCATTCATACTTTAAAAATGAAGATTATGATTTCAGAAAGTGCATCTGATAGTGTCCGTATGGGATTACGATAAGATGAGTAAAAACGATTTTATTGGAGAAGTGACACTGGGATCTAAACATTTGAATTTGCCACAGGTGAGTTAGAAAGTGTGTCCTAGTGACAAAATGAAGATTTCCTTTTCAGATAACTCATGCGTGCAGTGAGCAATGGGCCGAAATGATGACGTCGCGTCGTCCAGTGGTCCAATGGCATACGTTACAAGAGAGAATGGAGAAGGAGAAGAAAAAAGATGACGATTGATAATAATTTGTGATTTTTGAAAATATTCTATATCTGAAATTTCTATGGAATGTACATTAAGAAACCATATCTCTCCCGGTATTAATTGTTACCCGTCCCGATTAGTTTTCATTTTGTTTAGCTACACCTCTACTCCCAAACCTATCAAAATGTCTAATTTCCCCCTCCCCGTACTTTTTCTGTAAATACGTGTCAATACTTTTTCAACTCGAGATTGAAATTTTATCAAGCTGCAATATTTTGTGAATGAATGGTGTCATTGTGATTATTTTAAAAGTTCGCAGAAAAAATCTTTCTGCACAGTAACCCGAATTTCATTAATAAAATCCACATCGCGGTCGAATGATGTGGATCTTACTCTCGAAAATTTTCTCAACTAGCCGAAATAAAAAAAAAGAATATATTTTGTAAACTACTTCAAAACATAATATGGGACGTCTGGAATATATTGAATCCTCATCAGATGACGTAGGACAACAGAAGGACGGACAAAAAGGAGATGAAGTTTTGGGGAATCCCAAAGAATCAGCTGACGTAAGAGTTATAGAGCGATTATCTACAGGAGGTGATTTGCAAGAAGAGGTAAATGGGCTACATTTCGAATGAGCAACATTTTATTTGAAATGTTTAGGTCAAATTTGGCGAACAACTTCAAGACGATTTGATCAACTCATTTTGTGATAAACTTCAAGCAGTGTGCCCGAGAAGATTAGAGGCGTTTATGGCAATTCAGTTTTTGATGATTGTAAAAATTCCCGAGATTCCAAGATTCTCGATATTTGAATTTTCAGACCGATGTGGCAGATATTCGAAAACACGTTACTGGAAAAAGTCCTGCGATGCAGGTCCTGTATGATAGGACCCGTTCACATTATGTTCTTGTTCAGTGAGTTCTTCTTTCAATTTAACGAATCCAGAAAGTATTTTAGTTATAACGCAAAACATCAAAAAGTGGAAATTTATGATAGTTTGCAACCATGGAAATCGGATGGGACTCCTGAAGTATGTCAGACTAAAGTTTCATGTTTTCACAAAATATTGCTTTCAGATTCTCACAGAACTCTCAACTCATATCAGTCATCTCTTTGGGCACCTCTTCACAAAGTACATTCCATGTTTAGTGGATAGGGAGTATGAGGCGCAGGTTTGTATCAGCTTTTCAAATAAAAAAAATACTGTAGCTTTTAAAAATTAGCTGCAAAGATTAGTTTCGCAATAAATTATTATTATGTTGCGTGCTCAATGATTGACATTATTGGTCTTACCCTTTCTTCTGTTTCACCCATTCAAAAATTATATGTGAATTTCCAAATAGGCCTTTTTATGGATTATGAAAAAAACAAAATGGCATGCTTGTTACAAGCCGGGGCAAGAAAAAAAAAATTCATCGACCCGGACCGTAACAATCATCCGAATCTGCCCCTATCGCACGTGTGCAAAATGAAAAAAAAATTTCAGTCAGACAATTTCTCTTGTGGCTATCGTGTGCTTGGTGCTTTAGTCGATCTGGCTCGTCAAAAAAATCCCTCCACTCAAAGATACAGCCGTACATCGATTTTGGAGTTCATGAGAGCTATCCTAGCTGAACCTAATCCCACTTGGCAAATGTTCGAGACCGCGAAATTTGGAAAAGTTAAGGAATACAGTGGTGACTATCGTGCTAGCATCTATCTCCTGAATTCTACGTATACAACGTCGTCGTCGTCGTCGTCCACATTGTCTGGATCGTCCCCGTACAAACGCACAGCATCTACGGATTCGTTGGTTTCACAGAAGTCAGGGTCGCATTCCGATGGGTCTTCGTATGATGGGAGAAAGAATAGAAAGCACGTTCGACGGGTAAACAGAAATTTAGATCAACAATTAAAACTCTTCTCTTTTCCAGGCACATGCTGGTCGCAATCAGCAAACTCTATTTGCTGAATGCCAACCAAATCATGGATACCGATCACATTTTGGATATCATCAAAATTCGGGACTCATGACACCCTCTCTTGGTCAACCATTCGTTCCCATTGCTTATAGGTATCCATCATACGTTGGGCCTCCACCTTACCATGTGTCTGCTCTTCCTCGCTCTCAACCGACAGTGGAACATGGATTATTAGGATACGTTCGGAACGGTTATCAGATGGTAGTGGATAGCATTTTCCATCGAAAATCGGAATCAGAAGATGTCGAGCCAGACAGAGGACATGAATAAAACTTGATCATTTATCGTAATGGGTTTTCTTTTTTTTTGTTTGAATATAAAGGATTTTATTTTTTTAAAAGTAATCTATGTATTCATAGTTTGGCAGTATTTGCAGATTGGCAGTGAACTAAACTATATCATTCAAATTTAAACTGAATGGCACATCAGAGTCTAACTCATCCGCCCTGTAATTAGAAATTTCGTCGCTTGAGCTCATTCCAATAAATAAAATGGTTTCTTTCGTACATATCAAATACTTCAGTCATGTTAATCAGAAAATTCGTACTCCGCGAAATCCTGGTTGTCATGAGACCTGCTCAAATTCTCATCAACCAACATTTGTAGTATATGCTTTTATGATTTTTCACACATGAGTAGTTAATTTCTGCCACCAGATTCCTAGGCGTCTTCTGATCCTGAAATATCTTTTCCTCTCTTTGAATTAATGTACTATTTCCGCTCTAATACTTACACTTAAGACTCCATAAAAATCTGGTTTCATAATAATAATTTTTCTGGAAACATAGTGGGTGGGGCTTAAAAGAGGTAGCAGCAGCTGATAGCACCGCGGCATCCGTTGTATAGTTTCCACAAGTTTAAAGCTTCAACGGGCTTTTATTGGCAAATTACCAATGAATTTTAACGACTTACCAGCTTCAACATAGAGTAAAATTATTATGGTTTACAGATGTCTCACAGTGCTACCTCACGATCATTCAATACATTTCATCGATCATTCGATAGTAATGGATATAGTCTTTTTGATATAGAAGAGAAAAAACCACCATCCAAGTTGCCCATCGTTGAGATTGTTGCCGAGCCATTTGTTCCAGGGGCTACAAACATGGGTTATTATAGAAATTCCGGATTTTCGCATCCTGCACAAGTTTCAGACCTCACCAGAGTAATTAACTATTTCGAAATGAACAAGGAGTACATTTACAAAACCGTAAATATGCGATAGCCTCAATATACCCCTTGGACTGATCTGACGTATCGTCCAGTTATCCAGAATGAAGAACACCGTGATATCGAGGTAATATCATTACATGACCAGCAACTAAACGGACAGCAAGTTATTAGATGGGATGGAACTCTTACAAAGTGAGTCAGACTCAATAGCTTCCCTAGGTAATAATTTTTTCAGATCAACTTACCTCTACGAATTTCAAGTAACCGGTCTGCACAAAAGTGCAACATACGCCGTAGGCCTTCGTTTTAATTCTGATCCCCATTATTTTTATGACTACGACACAGACGAGAAGTTACTTGTCCCTTGTATTCCTGAGCCTAAAAAAACGAGCACCATGGAAATTCGACAAGGATATATGATGGGAGAGATGTTGATGAAAAACAACATCGACTTCAACGGGATCCAGTTCTCAGGATGTTTTTCTGCAATGGCGACCAGAAAAGGAGACAATGTGGTATGTTGCCAGAAGCGATTTTTTCCATAGTTCCTGAAAATTTAGATCCTGATGAACCAACATCGCATGTGGACACCAGTCCTCTCCATCTACATTCTCAATCAGATGGGAAAGATTATCCTTCTCAACGAATATCAGTTCCCAAATCTCTCCTTCGTTTCTCGGAACCCAACAGAGGTGCGTGATACAAGCCAAATACTGATAAATATTATTGAAGTTTTCCAGTACTATCAATTCAAAGAGCTTCCACCGATTAGCAAAGAGTCCGAGAAGATCATAAATGAGATTGATTGGAAAAGAGAAGAAGATATTGAAAGACGTAACAGGTGTTAACGCTTCCTGGAAAGTTCTCCAATCTTTTTTCAGACTCTCACGAAGCTTCAACCATCTCAACTTGCCAGTTCCACCTGAGGTACATGACTATAAGAAAGAAGAGAAAATAGCCGAAAGAAGAGCCAAGTACCGTATGGGCCTGGTCAACGCGATCCGCACTGAGCAGCAATCGTTTTACGGAAGATATTCGAATGATAAAGTTCAAGAGGGAATGGACCAGGAGGAATTGCAATAAAAGATCGCCTCACTTCCTGTGCTTGAAAAGTAATATATTAATTCCTATGTTTTTTTTTGCTGTATCTCCATTATTGTTCGCTTTTGATATTCTCATTCCATTTCTTCCCATTCTCATGCATAAACCCCATAAACCATCTATCCTCCCCTCTCTTACAATTTTCAGCAAATCGAATCATAAATTTTTTGCATATATAAACCCCTCTCGTTCTTTTATTTTTTATACATCATCAATGCTTTCTCAGTCTTCTATTCTATTATTCCTTCTGTTCTCCGTGAACGGGGCTCTTTTCCGTTTCATGGGATCTTCCAACGAAGATCCATTGAAAATCGTCAATAACCATTTTGTGGAAATAAAGAAGGCTTGTAAGGACTTGAATCAGACTGCTATTCGGCAATTGATCGTCGCTACAGATCACGACAGTGAGTGTTTCTAGTACTGCTTTTTTCTTAAATGTTGACAATTTGAGAAATCAATATCACCATGACTATGTTAATCTTTGGAAGTTACGAATACTACCCAACAGAAGTCGGATACTTTGAAGAAGGACACATTCATACTACGGTAGATATGATCAAGCCAGGGAGAAAAATGTACATGTATTTCTTCCTGAGACCAGCCAGACCAAGCCCAAGTGGATGGACAATCTATAACATAACATAAAATTGTCATTTTGATTGATTCCTGAATGAATATGTTTAGCATCGAAATTTTTCAATTCAGATATTGTCTCAGAAATAAATTACTGAGTTTTGGAATTTATGTTTCAGAATTTCAATTGGTCAACACAAAACATGATAAAATCGGACAGTTAGTCATGTAGGACTTTGGAAACATCAATTCCAAAGTAAAATCAGCCATTCTGAAAGTTTGAAAATAATATGAGTCATTTGCAAAAATTTTTCTTTCAAGAGTTTAGTAAATATTTTTCCTTATTGGTCAATTCTCAGTGGTCATCTCCCAGACGGAAAGCAACAAACGAATGATTTTCAATGACCACCTTCTCCCAGAAACTAGTTATGGCATAAGAAAAAAGATATTCTGATACTGATCTACCCGATCTAGTGAATTGATCTGATTCAGATCGGATCTATTTACTTTCTCAATTCGACGAACAACAACATCCGCTTCTTATCTTTTTATCTATCATTCCCCACGTCTATATCATTTCTCCCTCATATCAGAATACGATCTAGGAGGTCAAAACCCCACTGTGATACTAATTTTCGCGCCGACGTCATGCGCCATCTGATCTTTGCATCTCTTCGCCGAATCACATGGAGATCAGAAACAGTCTGGTATAAAAGACGGAAGAGTTTTGGAGAGAAGACATCAGCAAGTCTGAAATCTGAAAAATGAATCAACTGAACATTCTTCTTGTATTCTGCCTTTTGGCATTAACTGCTCTTCCAGTATTCACCTACCCATCTGACGATTTCAGTTTGGAAGCTCTCGGAGATGAGTAAGTATCCTGAAAACTAAAGAATTACAAAACATTATCATCTTTTCAGTGAATCCATTCGTGTCAAGAGATGGGGTGGATGGGGTGGCCGTGGAGGATGGGGAGGTGGCCGTGGATACTACGGCGGTCGCGGTGGTGGCTGGGGACGTGGAGGCGGATGGGGACGCGGAGGCGGATGGGGACGCGGATATGGACGTGGATGGGGAAAATAAGTCATCGTTGCTTTACCAGATATTTTTTCTGTACAAATAATAATAAAACTATTCTTTCATCTGTTCTTTCTTTATCACTTCACAACTCATGAAGCAAGGAAAAGCAACAAAAAAGGCGTAGTTGTTTTATCTTTTTTCGATTGCCCTCAGTTGGTGTTGCATGGATACATGATCAGCACGAAGTCTTCAGAGATCGTAATGGTGTATGTATGTTGTCATCACAGGACACGTGTGGGAACGAACCAGCGAGGGGTTGCCCCCAACACTGCACGCTAACCGCTGCGCCACACTGCAGTAAGCGTACATCGGGTCGCTTTGAGTATATGAAGAGAGGGTAAAGGCAAGGCGACGAGGGAAGCGGGCGAGCGGTGTGTACTTCTTCTCTTGTTTCTCGTTTTTTTTCCCAGTTACCGTATATCCTCTAATAGAAGCCCACCCTGGCTGCGTATTTTTCTTTGGGCAGCAATACTCTTATTTGTTAATTTTTCTGGTAGTTTCCGTTAATTCTTGTCGTTTTACAACTCTTCCAGTTCAGTTAAAAACCGAAAATCCTCTAATTTGAGGGTTTTCTCTAATACTAGTTCACCCCCAGAAGGAGGTGGAAAAATAGAAGCCCATGGTCCTCTGTTAGAAAAAATACTGTATATTTTTTGGATGAAAGTATGGTAAAACATTCTTCATAATTGTGAAAGTACAAAGAGGTATTTATAAAAAAGGCAAAATTCGATAAATGATAAGTACATGAAATGGGAAGCAATATAAAGCGAAACAATGATTTAGAATATGCAATTAAAAATAGAAAACAACAAAAATCAATAAAAAGTAAACCAATTATTCCTGAATAGTGCTCATTTTGGTGTCTCTCTCGTACATCTCTCGATCCGACGGTTTGACAAGTCCAAACTTTTCAGCGGCATCGATCGCCCGTTTCGCTTGCTCTGTAGATCCCGCTCGTTCTTGATTGATAGTTCCGAGCTTTGTCACAGCAACCAGCACTCGGAATACTTCAGATGCAACGATTTCTGAGCACGCCTTCTCACTTGATGCCATAATATTTGCAATGCCCATCAGTCCGCGACGTTGTGTTTCAGCGTCTTCGTGCATCGCGATATCCTTGAAAACTTCTGGCCATGATTGAATTTCCTCAAGAATTCTGCTACACGCATTTTCGTCTTCTGTTAAGATAGCGAATCCAGCAGCGGAAGTTCTAGAAAGACGCTCGTCTTCAACTTCAGCAGAATAGAGTACCCACAACTTCAGACGATCCGTTCCAGGCTGAAAGAAATGTTATAATAGTTTGAGAATTTATCGAAGTATACTCACCGCTACAGTCTCATCATAGAATTTATCGAAGAACAATAAATTCAACAGAAGCTCTGAAGCTGCTGCTCTCAAATGCTCATGATCGGTCATGAACCAAAACTCCTCAATCTTTGGAATCGCCTTCTCCTTCAGAATCCGACCACGAATCGAATCACTAACACTTGCCAGATTGGTCAGTGTCAGAAGAGCATCATAGTTCGCTTTTCCTTCAACTTCAGGATGAAGAAGGTCACATAGTGGCTTCACAACTTCATAAGCTCGCTGTCCTGGGAATGAAATAGTCGGATCTGCTTTGGATCCCAACTTGGCAATCGCATGAGCTGCTTTGATTTTTCCTTCTCCAGAAGCCTCTTTGGTCAGCCTTAAACAAAGAACAGTTCCTCCTTCTGCAATGATTCTTCCACGTAGGTCCTCGTATTCGGAGAATGCCAGCAGTGTTCGGGCAATCAATTCAAGAGCATTTTTACTCTCTGTCTTGCTCACAGCTACACACGCTGGTACTGCCCCTTCTTCGACCAGAGCCCGCACTCGTTTTTCCACAAAATCTTCTGTATCCTTGGGATGAGTTTCTGGAACATGATGCTTGGCGAATTGAGCAAGTTTGACCATTTCTTCATCGACTTTTGGTTTCTCAAATGCGTTTGAAAGATTAGCATAGATTGTGGCTAATGTATAAACACAAAGTGGTCCAGCACTTTTCGCGAGAATCACAAGAGCTCTGAGCAACAACGAATCATCTACAATCCATTCTTTAACATCTGCATCCAGTGACAGATAGGAGAGTCCTTCACAGGCATATCTTCTGATATCAACGGAATATTTCTCTGTTTCCAGAAGGAACTTTTTACAAGTCTTTGCCAAACTAATCACAGCTTCTTCTTTCATTGTGGCCTTCGAAATATCATCTCCTCCAGCGGCACCAATTTTACAGAGACCCACTAACGCTCTCACTTTCACTGTCGGGTCTCCTGAATCGTAAAGAGCACGGAGAACGGGAATTCCGACCTTCAGCATGTTGATCGCTCTTTCGTGCTTTGCTATGGTGCCCACAATCAACTCAGCAGCAATTCCTTGCATCAAATGGTTATTGGAAGCGGCCATTTGGAGCATGATAGGAGTCAATTGATCGTTAATAATTAAATTGATTCCAATGTCGACAGGGCCTTGAAGCATGGTAATCAGGAAGCAGGACAGCTTGATTCGGTACTTGTGACCTTCTTCATCATCGGTACAGCGAGAGATCAGAGCACTGAAAATGATTGTTTGTTCAAAATCTGACACCTCACAACAGCTAAGCCAACTTACTTGAAAAAGAAATCGACTCTCTCTTTGAAAATGAGTCTCTTCGTATCGAAAACCATATCCTCTTCCAATCTTTGCAGACAAATCGCCACGTGCTGTCTAGTTTCAGCTGACACCGGATAATCACACTGTTCAGGAATCTGACTCGCCACGTCTAACAAAACCAACAATCCGCGCTCGTCCACAAACTTCCAAGACCATCCACGTGGAATTCCACCATCCATATGCATCAGGTTTTTGAGAAAAAGATCGATAACCGTCTCTCTTTGAAAAACTCCAACTTTCGGGTCTTGAAGCATCTCTTGAAGTTCTAGAAGAACACGAATAATCCATAGCTTATTGGCATCTGCTACTTCAGGATCCGGTTTCATTTCTTTTTGTCTGTCCATTTTAGCCATTGCATTAAATACTCTCTGCACCAAAATTCCAGCAGAATCAACGTATTCCTTGTTGTTTCTTTTGCACATCAGACGGCACACAAATCGTGCAGACTTCCCGCCTTCCGAATCGTGCATCGCGAGGAATTTCATAGCACGAGCATTGTTCTTAAGGGTCTCGTCAAGGATTCGGATGCCAGTAACAATGAGTTCCTCGTTCTCAGCCTTGTCATTTATCAGGTTCAAGATGAATGGAACGATGGCACCCTGTCAACTGATAATAATATTTTCAATTCTGATTCACGATTACCTGATTCCAAACTGAAGTAGCTCCGGACTCCGACTCCCTGCAAAGCACCAGTAAGTTGTTCAATGCCGTCTGCTTCTGAGCTACGTCTTTTGCTTCTCCACGGAATGCCAATTTCTCCATATCTGTGACCTTATTTGCCAACGATGTTGTCTGCTTAATCTTGTCATTGTTAGCTTTTACAAGGCGTTGAAGGGTTTCCACGATGCCTCTGAAAACCTTTTTACAATAACTTTCCAATTTTTTGAACACTCACTTGTCTTGCGGAGACAGTCTCAATGCCTCTTTCGCATCATTGAACGCGGGACCCACATTACCAAGCTGTTCACGAGCCAGAGCTCGTCGGAAAAGAGCCTTAACGTCGGCACCATCGAATTCTAACGCTTTGTTACAATCGGATTGTGCTCCTTCGAAATCATCTCTTCTCAGTCGTGCCAATGCACGATTTCGGTAGAGAACGGGCCGCAGTGATTTATCCTCATCGGTGGTCAACTGAAGAGCTTCTGTGTACCTGAAAATTTAGAGAAATAAAGAAATTTAAAATGTTAAAAACGTACAAGTCATCGGCTTTCACATAGTCCTGGTCCTTGATAGCAGCATTTCCCTCGTCGCGAATCTCTTCTGCTGTCTGCACTCGAGCCACCATTCTGTTTTGGTCGGCTGAAAAATCCAAAATCTTAGAGAAATGCAAGTGCGCTCGAAGGCAACGGAATAGAGAACGGAGGCGCAGAGAATACATGAGAGGGAATCCAAATTTGGTATTTTTGAAAGTTTCAGTAACAGTTTTATTTGTATTTTTTGGAAAAGTAACTATTAAAAAAACAATTTAAGAATGTTTTTCATATTTACGGAAAATGATAAACTGCTATTTGAAAATTCTAGAAACTATTGCTAACGGTAGAAATTTCGAGAAGCATAAGTCTCAGCCAGTTCCTACAAGATCCCGCCTCTCTCCTCTAGGTGCTCTGGAGCTTTCGAGAAGCTCCCAGACAAAATAAATATTGTTATGATTGCGGAGAATCAGAGAAAAGAGAAAATCTCGCGAAGTGATCGAAGAAAGGGAGAGAGTGGTGGGGGAGAGAAGAAGGTGTAATAGAAAGTTCTGGGGCTGAGAAATTACTGGATAATAGAACGTTCGGATCTCTTAATCTACATCTGCTGCAGCAGACCAAATGTTTCATTTTAAGAAGCTTCAAAACAATTTTGTCAGAAATTTATCTCTCTTCGGCGGGTTTCTGTTCAATTTACCATGGTATTCTGAAAAAATTGTAAACTACGGAAACCATCTCATATAGTTAAACAAACAAATAATCGAAACTTAAAGATTTTGAGCTTCCAATAATATTCAGAATTCAAATCAAAGCAAAAAAAGAACAAAAATGCCAGTTGTCTTCTTCTTCCAATCGTTTGACTGGCAATGAAATGGAATATACGGAGAAGAATAGTGTAAAGTTACGGCGAACCCACTGGCGGAGATTCGGGGAGATTCCTTCTCGATGTTTGAATAATCTCCGTTTCTTGGTGTCTCTCTGGATATCCTTAATCTCTTTCCTATCCTTTCTAAAGTTTCTTGTGTGCATGCACTGTGCGCAAATTTTCAAGCGAAGGAAAGGAAAGAAAAAGAAAAATGAAATTGTACAGATAGATAGTTGGAAGAGAAGATGCATTGTGAGGGGATGAGTCAGGAGTTAGTAGTAAATTCTGTGGAAAATGTCAATATAAACAATGAACATCAATTTATTGAATATAGAAAAAAATCTGAATATTCTTAAAAATTATTTTTTTTGTAATTAAAAAACTGGGATAAATTAAAACTAATTAACCTAGAACACAGCAGCAAACATAATTCTCACCGAAAACATAAAAGTTCTCAGGACAAATATAATTAATAAGGCTATTATAATTTTGATTACTGTTGTTTTTAGGTGAATTCGTTCTCAATTAATCACAAATTTTAATTCAAAAAGAATATTCATGGTTTATTTGAAAAAAATAGTTGCAGACCCATCAAATAAAATGTTCAAATATTCTTTACTGATTTAGAGACTACACATTTATGTTTCTCCCTACAAAAATTTTGGAATCGAATGTAACGATTCGTCCCTTAAGTTTCAGATGAAAACGGGAACATGTTGATACTGGAATATAAAGAACATAAATAAAAAAAATTTCAAAAAAAGAAGTTTATTCAAAAAAAAAATGATGCAATACGCACCTACTCAATGGACAGTCACCAATTATACTTTGGAAACTAATGGCAAAAAAGAGAGAAAAATAAATTAGAAAGAGGGAGAATTCAGAATAAATCATTAAATAACACCGATTAAATTTCGTTGTTGAGTGGAGCATCGGCGAGGTACTTGTCACGGCAGATTCCGCGAACAGCTACCTGGTGTGGAGGACACTTGTCTTCGCACTTCTTCATTATTCTTTCACCGACGATTCGTAGCACTTGTACTTGTCCGTTCGAGCATGGTCCTGAAAAAATACATTTTTAGCTTAGATGGATTCTACAGTCGAGTTTTTAGAAAACTATATATTCTTGGAAGACTTACCATTCGCCGCATTCTCCTTGTTTTTATTGGTCGTTCCTCGTCCAACCACTGGACGTCCTCTGACTGGAGCCTTCACTACAATGTCTTCCTCTTCTTCCTCCTCAACAACTGAGCAACACTGGAATCTGTTGGACAATGTACTCTTCTGGCACTTGTATCCAGCAGGGCAACTATTAGATCCACTGTTCGAGCACTGCACTGGGGTGCCAGTGGATGGGAACAACAAAGCGGTTCCAGTGGCACATCCATTAGCAGCTCCGGATGATCCAGAACCGGTGGTTGGAGAAACCTTCGAAGAACAGCAGTAATAGTTCTTACTCTTCTTGGAGAATGTACACTTGTATCCAGATGGACATGGAGAAACAGTGCACTGCTTTGGTGTTCCGTTCACAACGTATGCACTCCCTCTATCACAAACGTTTGTGGCTGATTCCTCGTCAGTGTCTTCTTTTCCATTTGGTTTGGAACTGAAGGTGCTTGGCTTTCCGTTTTTTTTTTCTGCAACTACAGATGAAGCCTTTCCTCCTCCACAACATATATTTTGTTGAGCAGTTTGAGAGAATTGACAGCTGAATCCACGTGGACAATTTGGTCGAGATGGGGTACAGAATCTTGCGTTCTTGGTACGTGGCTCAAGGTACGGAATTTGTCCTGGCACAGGGCAAGTGCTCATTGGTCGAGACATTTTCTTCATGCAAACATCTTCCACAGCTTCCTCTCCTTCTGGGCAAGTACAGGTTGCATCCAAGCAAGAAGATCCTCCTTGGCATTGTTCATCAGCTTCACAAGCTTCTCCGATAAGGGCCTTGACAACACACTTTCCAGCGACCTCGACTTCATTAGCTCCACAGTCCGCAAGACAGACTCCGTTGAGCTCATGATGTCCTTCTGGGCAAGAGCACACCGAATCCTTGCACGTGGATCCTGTTGGACATTGTACTTGGTTGTTACAAGCCTCTCCGAGAGATTTCTTATCGAGACAAACTCCATCAACCTCGACTTGTTTCTCGGTGCATCCCTTGGTACTTGGAGGAAGGATCTCTTCGTTAGTGGTGCAGCAGAGTTGAGCTCCAGAGATGCTTCTTTGGCAGGAGTATCCAGATGGGCAAGTGCTCTGTCCGATGGCGCAAGATTGTGGCTCTCCGGTGATTCCAATAAAGGCAACCGAGTCATTTGGACATCCTCCAGACATTCCACAGCACTGGAATTGGTTGTTAGCAGTAGAGAATTGACAGAAGAATCCGGTTGGGCAGTTTTGGGAGGCAGCTGTACAGATTCTTGGGGCATTGGAAGAGTGCTCACGGTAGGCAACCTGGTTGTTGGGGCATCCAAGAGCAGCAATACTCTTTGGAGTAGTGATTGGCGTGGCTCCACAGCATTGATACCTCTGATTAGCCAACGACCATTGGCAGGAATATCCATTTGGACAAGGTGCGTTAGGTGGGTTGAATGGATCACATGGGGCGATCTGGTTATCCTTCATGAAGACGTACTCATTTGGTGGGCATCCATCAGATACAGATGCTACCTCTCCCTTGCAACAGTATCCAGTAGTGAATTCGTTTTGGGTCGATTGACAGGAGTATCCGTTAGGGCAGGTGATGAAAGCTCCAACTGTGCAAGATCTTGGCATCTGGGAAGACTCTTCCAAGTAGAACTCAGCCTTGTTAGGGCATAGATGATTTCCAGAACAACAGTATCCCTGGAAGGCTCCTGGAACATCCGATTGACATGTGTAACCAGTTGGACATTGGTTGTTATTGCTGCTAATAGTACAACGGATTGGAGCCTTAGAACTTGGCTCCTTGTAGAGAGCCTTTCCGGATGGGCAAAGATCTCCAGTAATGGATGCGCAACAATAGTATCGGTTCTTTAAGGCATTAAATCTGCAGAGATAGTTACTTGGACAGGATCCCTCAACGTTGATCAGGCACTCGCGGACTCCCATATCGGCAGCATTCACATAGGCCTTCTCGCCTTCTGGGCAGACATCCATGTTGGTGGCTCCGCAGCAGACAGAGTTTCCGGAAAGCTGGTCATAAGTACATCCGAAGTTGGTTGGACACGAGTTCGATAAAGCAGCATTGCATTCGTATGGCATGTTGGTGTTAGGGTTTACGTAAGCAACATCTCCTGGTGTGCAAGCAGCAGAGAGACAGAAGTTGTTGCATTGCTCGAGGGTGGCAAAGTTGTTCAAGTTTCCAGAGCATCCGTTGTAGGTGAACTGGGTGCACTCCTTTGTGACAATATTGAAATAGAAGCGAGCCGCTGCAGAGCTGCTGCACGAAGATCCTTGCTGTGGTGGAAGAGAGCAAATGTATGCACGTGTTGGACAGCATCTGTTGACCACAGAAGATCCTGAGTTTACTGAAGTACACTCGTGGGTTCCAGGACAGGTTTGAGTAGCAGAGCAGACCATGAGTTGACCGAACTCGTTGCGTTCAGGGGTTCCTCCATTTGGACATCCTCCAACTCCACAGTATCCTTCACAATCTTCTCTGGTAGCAAAGTTGTTGGAGTTACCATCGCATCCATTGTATTGGTAGGACTCGCATTCTTGAGTCTGAGAGTTGTAGTAATATCTGTAGGATGATCCGGATCCACAGGTGACTCCTTTGTGTGGGGAGAGAGTGCATGTATAAGCCTTGGTTGGACAGCATCCCCAGACATATCCGTCAAAGTAACATTCGTAGTTGACTGGACAAGAGTTGCCGGCGCCAGAATTGGAGCACACATAATAGTTTCCTTGATAATCTTTGTAGGCGTCTCCTTGTGGACACTGTGGTTCTGGGATGATATTCTCACAGGTGTTCTGGCACTCGAGCAGAGTCTCAAAATTGTTGTCGTTTCCTTGACATCCAGTATAATCAAAGATTTCACAAGCACGAGTCACGGCGTTGTACCAGTAGCGACGGACGGATTGCTTGCAGTCTCCGAGACGAAGTGGCTGAGAGCAGATGGCTTCTAAAAATAGATTTTTAGAACAGACTATTTAAATGTTGAACTTGGTTAAAAACACTATATAAACCAGCTAGAAGATCAGAAAAATCGACATACGTGGTCTTGGGCAGCAAACGTTGTGATCCGATTGGCATTCATGAGTACTTGGGCAATCGGCGTTAGCAGAACATCTCTGGAAAAATGTTAACTTTTGTTTTCAAAAAATTCCTCATTTCTAAATTTCCTACATTTTCAATCTTTCATATTTTTTTTCTGCCCACTTACCTGATTAGATGATCCGATCTTAAGTGGTGTACCATATTTGCATTGCAATTTGGCGCAGAACAGCTCGCAATCAGCTGACGATTTGAAGTTGTTGTAGTTTCCGAGTGCTCCGTTATAAGTGAACGCAATACACCTGCCTTGTTCAGCATCGTAGTAGTATCGCGAGCTAGTGGAGAATGTCATCGAGAAGCTTCTCTTCATGAGCATTCCAGCGTCAAAGTTGGTGGAACGGATGAGATCGACTGGACGTCCTCCGGTGTTAGAGCAGATGCTGGCGACGGTTGGGCAGCAAAGTTGCATGGATCCGATAGAGGTACATTCAAAGTTAGATGTGCATGAGGAGGCTGTCTGGCAGTTGTTAACGACTTCATCCTCATTTTGGCTTGATCCAGTCAGGTATTGTGGTGATCCGCGTTTGCAGGCTGAAAAAAGTTTTTTTTAGATATAGAAATGAAGAGGAAGTTAAGAAACTCACTATCTCTACAATAAGATTCGCAGTGCTCTCTGGTCTTGAAGTTGTTTGGGGATTGCATCTCGGTCTCATCCCATGGGTCCCACATGAACTGTTCGCAGGTTCCAGTAACAGCATTGTACCACCATCTTGGTCTGACTCCAGCTGGAGCAGCACTTCCACTATCAGCTTCTCTCTTTGGTTGAATGCAAGTGAAAGCTCTGTTCGGGCAGCAAATACCATCGGAAGCTGGATGGATGTCGTAGACTCCCTCCATAGCAGTCTTCACATTGGCCATAGAAGTTGTTGATGTGACACAGTCATAGATATCAGCGATATAAACACCATCTCCTTCCTGGGCATTGTTGGAGTCAGTGGCAAAAGCGCATGCACCTCCACCGTTGGCAACAAAGGTAGTGTAATCTGTGGATTGAGAAGAACAGAATTGAAGAGGGTTGATGTGTTCTCCCATCTGGATATCAGCATCGTCTGGATCAGTCATATGTGGGTTGCGAAGTTGAGAGACTGGCATTGTCAAGAGGTCATCGTCATATCTGAATATGTCTCAGATTTATTGTTCATGAATACAGGAAAATTTTTAAACCTCAATGAAAAACATTTAGAAACTTATAGTTTGGAGGATTTCATAACTTATACCTGAATTTGACAAGAAAAACTCACTCTGGAAGTGGGCACTTTGGTACCGGATCTCCATCTTCTCCGGAGTGAAGAACACATACGACTCCATCTCTGGTCTTGGCTTGAACATATGGAATTCCATTAACATCTTCTGGGCACTCGCATCTAGACTTCTCGCATCTGGATTCTGGCCAAACTGCAGAGCACTGTTCGGCATATTGACACCCAGACTCTCCTGGATTCTTCTTAAGATAACAGTATCCTTGAATAGCAACAAAGTTCGAAAGACAGGTACATGAGCCAGTAGAGCAGAACATTCCCTGAAAAGAAAGTTCGATAAAAGCAAAGGAAAGATAAATTACAGTAAGACAATCCGTATTGAAGCTACAGAAATCTCCAACTCTTCCAGATCCGGCGACTCCTTGACGCTTATACCGAACATTGCCAGTTCGGCACTTTCCATCAATGAAGAATTGGCTCTGCAATAGAAAGAATGTCGAAAATCTTAACGAAATGGTATTACCTTTGGGCAGATCTTTCGTTCGATTTCCTTCTTCACAAGATTGCAGATCAGGAATGCGTTCTCGTGTGTATCGGTTTTGCTGGAACATGTTTATATAAAAGCAAGTTCTTGCTTTTTTTAGGTGGAACAATTGCAAAGCGCATTGAAAAATTTTTCTGAAATTACTCACTTTATAGCAAGATCGCAATAAATTGAATCAATGCTCATCTCCTCGTCACAAGCATCTCCTTGTGTCGGTATCCGACATCCTGCACTATCACATCCATCGCCTATCCTACATATTGGTTTCTGTTCAGTAGTTGCATAAGCGCCTCCTGCAAGTGAAATATATTTCCTAATTGTAAGTATCAATGTCAGAGAGACTTGCACTTTTCCTCTCAGTTCTTTCAAATTTGATCCCTTGGGCACGCTCCCCTCTATAAAATCCAAATCGGGCAAAAATACACACAACTATTTTCTTTCGCCAAGAGTCACGCCTCTGTCCATATTTGCACTGACCCCAAACTGTGTTCGCTTTTTTCATTCAATTCACTCCCAAAAGTTTCGTGGATTTCTTCGCTGCGCGCGGGGTCCAGTATCGTCCGGGAGAAAGTGTGAGAATTCTCAATGTTTGCCAATTTTATTGTATGATCTGATTTTGCGTTTGGGAACAGTTTGCTCCGCCGAGCACACAAACAAAGATATTGAAATAGCGGGAAGGCAGAAATGTTTCGAACTTTGTAGTCTGGATTCCGATCAAAATAGGACGCGGTCGTTTTAGTCTCTAGTGATTAAGATCGATGTATTGGTCATGGTCGGATTTGATTGAAGCGAATTGGTTGAAGAAAAGTGAATTTTCGGAAATAATGGAAAAAAGAAAACATAAGCAAAGTATTTCTATAACCCCAGAGAAATTCTAAATTTTCATTTGGTTTTCTAAAAAAAGTATATCAAAAGTGTACCATGCGGACAAAATGTTCCATCTGGGGTTTCTGCAAAAAATGTTTAGCGAATATTTGATACCATATCAAAGTAGGAATTGTGAGAATGTCGATGATAGTCTAAGATGTTAATGAGCTCATCAACGATCGTCTACATAAACCCTGACTAGAAGAATTTTAAAAATATCTTACCTGCAAGCAGGAGTAGAATAAACCAGTTGCGCATTTCTGCGAGTGTGTGTAAATTGATAATTATGAACAAGAATACAATTGGATTCCTTTTTTGTGTTCAAATTGTGAAATTGAATACTATCAGATATGTTGAAGCAGTTAAGAAGACAATGTGACTATCGATTGAAAATCATACAGTGGTAGATGAAAAATGTATAAAGGGGAAATGTGTAGTGAGTACAGGAATCCCACTGACACTGAGTAGTTGCAATCGAATGGATGGAGATGGGGAGGGGATGTTCTGGGGCTGTCTGTCTGTTCTTGCCCTTGCTCGTCGTAACGGTCAGAAGGGGAGGGGTCACTATATTTGTATGTGCTCTTAGGAGAGCTTCTTCTTCGTCTTGCTCTCCCTCCGTGGGAGTCAGATAGACTTCGAATGTTTGCCCGAGAAATATAGTGACCGATACGGAGCCAGGGAGGGGGTCACTCTCTTGTGAGCAGCGAGTAATGCGATTTACATGTAATAGAGCAAAGAGTTTTGGGTAGATATTTATAAATGTCTGTGTATTGTATACAGAGCATGATATGTGATAAGCGTTATCTGGGAAAAGCTTATTGAAATTGCCACGTCATTCTGAATTTCAAAATGTTAAATTGGTATCGCAGGTACTAACATCACTGATGGCATTGATCAGCACCTGAAAATCTGGTAAGAGTCTTGTTGAATTTCAAAACTATCTTGCTTCTGAAATAGCTGCATGTGTTTGAAAACGAGTTCACTGCACCGAAATGGAAAAGTGCACTCTCAAAATTTCAGAATACCTCATCATAGAATCAGTCTGAATTTCGAATGAATCGAGGTTTTGATATTTTCACACTGGTTTACTCCTCCAACTATTCATCAAACCTTATCAGGTAACGAATCGTCTTCAGAATTACATTTTTCTTGAGTTTGATTTGTAAACTTTATAGATTGTCTTTTTAGTTTTTGAACTACCGAAACTCTATTTCATTCACTTGCCCGAATTAGCATCTCAATCTTTGCTCTAGGTTCAAGCTTCTTCCGATTCTGTTTGTTTGTCATGCGTTATGTGTATTATTTCAATTGTGCTACAATTCCAATCTCCCCTCCTCCATGACATTTCAAATCCAAAAAAGGAGAGGGAGAGAAAGAAAGTTAATCTGGTCTGCTCGGGACACAATGATAAGATCACGCGGCGCAATAGCGGATTCCTAAAAAGAACCTAAGAAGAGCATAGAAGGATTTGGACTGTCTTTCTCTTATTCCGCCGCTGAATCATGACATCAATGAAAAACACGCGCTTTTCTTTTTTTTTCCTTTTTTTTTAGCAGCACCTATGTTTGTTTTAGGTAAGACCGCCCGTTTTTCAAATGGGTTAATGGGGGTCACAATGAAGAGTGGGAGAGACTATGATGATGGTTATATTGTTGAGTTTCTTTATTTTTAGAGCACAGTGTAGGAAATATATACCAAAAGGACAAGAACATCTCCGAAAGCAAATGTGGAAAGATTTGAAGAGACGGATGGAAGGTAATGGGGTTTAGCTTTGTTCAAATAGTTGGTCCTCTACAGCCAAATTGAACATAGCCTTCTAGTATGTAAGAATGAAATAAAAATTGCAAAAATGAAAATAACCGTAACGAGCCAAAAAAATTCTAGATCAGAATATTTTTTGAGAAAACTGGGAACAAAAATAGAATTAGAAAAGGAAAACCGGTTTGAATTTTTGAAAGTTTTCTATCGCATTCTTGGTCGATCGGATTCCTCTTCTGATGGTTTACACATATTTGGAGAGTACCATGGAGTTGAGCATTGTGGTTCTAAAAAAATTTGATTAAACAAGTCTTTCAGAAACTCAAAGTCTGATATAACAATTCCTAACAAATGAGCTTTTCCAGACATTGTCTTATTTCTTACCACATTGTGATGTACCATCCCTATCCACCATCAGCCATCCTCTCGGACATGGTTCCGACCGTTTCACCCGTCCATTCGGGCAGCACATTTTGTTAGTACACGTGTGTCCCTGAGTATAGCATACTTGGAAGTTGTTTAACTTTATAGTTTTCAAAAATTGTACCTGTGGACATCCTTTAACTGGATTACAAACCAATGGCATGTTGTTTTGTGGAAATAACATTGGGGTTCTTCCATCTGGACAAGTGTACTTCGAAACCGACTTTCCACCAACTCCTGATACAGACCCAATAGCTACAACTCTTCCTCCACTAACTATTCTGCCAGGAATCCCTGTAATTGGTCTCACAGTAGCCCCGCCGCCCCCTACTTTGCTCATGGCAATAGGAGCATTTGAACAGCACACGTAAGATCCGATCATCTTTGAATAGACACATGCAGATGGTTTCGGACATTTTTGTTTGGCACACTGGATGATGGAATATTCTAACGAAATCACTGGTTGCTTCGGATGTTCGCAAATGTTAACATTGTCTGAAAACAGTGTATTTTTTGATAGGTCCCCGGTTATTTGACTTACTTAAACATCTATCTTTGTAAGGCGAACTTCCTGGTGCACACTTGCAGACTTTCATAGTGCACGTGGTTCCATTTTGACACTGTTCATCGTAGGTACAGGATCCACCCATTTGAGATTTGTCCAAACAAGTATTGTCTTTCTGAAAGACCAAATCATTTTTAAAAGATTAACTCACTTATTCTTACCTCAATTTGGTCCTCTCCACACTTCTGTTTCTTCACCCCCTTTTCTTCTATACCAATGAGACCATCAGTGTCAACCTGAATGCATCTCCCATCTTGCTCTCGGAATTTTTTTCCACATGCACACAATTGTCCGACACATTCAGCTCCAGAAGTGCACTGTGATGACAGAAGGCACACTGAACCAACGGCTCCTCTGACTTTACATTCTCCGTTAACCAATACAGTATCTGGAGGGCATAGAGATTTACCAGTGTGTCCAGAAGATGTAATTGATGATGGCATGGTTATAGTAGGAATCAGAGCACCAGTACTCAGAATAATTGGCGCAATTGTTATAGAAGGTGTCACACTTTCTGAGTTCGACGAGGTCGGCCTATCTCTCGCACTGATTCTCGAAGCAGTACAGCATATAGTTTTTCCTTGCTTTGCATTCTGACAGCTGTAACCTTCCGGACAGTTCCTTAGTTTCACAGAACATTCTTGAGCTCCTCCAGTCATATCCAAATATGCAACAGACTCCCCTGGACATCCTGCTTTGTGCCCGCAACATTGGAATTGTTTGTTTCGATCCGAGAATTGACAAAAGTAGCCAGTTGGGCAGGATGCTCCAGAAGCCGTGCACACTACTGGGTGATCATTGCTCACTAGAGCAACTTGAGAATGTGGGCAGCCGAGTTCTGAAAGAAACATGATTTCCGTATTCTCAAATCTTCTGAGTGTATTCAAATTCACAAAAACAATTGTAACTTTTCACTTATTTCTCCCCTCTCAGAAAACAAATAGCCATCGTGCAAAAAACGATTGTTGGTTGTTATTTTTTCAACCCTTTATTGATGTTTTGTCCGATCTAAACACCACTAATTATGTCTTCTTTTCCTTTGAGAGCAGCGGCGGTCAGCGGGCCGAGATAAAGGAACGGGCCCGATGAACCACTTGACACTGCTCACTTCCGCCAGGATTTTAGATCAACGAGATACGGGATCAGGAATTTAGGGGTTTAGAAAAAAGTCTTTGTTTCGTTGAATTATTTGTTTGTGTTGAATGAAATGTTTAGTTAATTCAATATCAATTACTTAAAAACTTTTTTTCGGTTTCTGAAAGTATTTAATGTTATCCCCACAGTTTTCTTCTTGCTTGAAAGTACCATTTAAAACAAATCAAAGTTCCTTTGCCAACATCTTTTTCTCCAGATTCCGTTTTCAAAAAAATTAAATCCAATCGAGAGATATCTCATAATTTCATCAATGTCCGCAGTACCTGTCCGCGTCAATTTCTCCCCACTCATCTCTTTGTTTGTCGTGATGTGTTCCCTTCATAAAGCTTCCGTGTTGCTCTCTTTCCCTAACTCGTCTCAATACCATCCTCGCAACCAACAAACAAAAGTTTCGAAAGGGATTACACCTGCTCCTCATCTCAGAAAGTACACTGTCAATATACGATACTTGAAGAGACATTCCGATCCCGCAACGGACATTGTGTTTTCGGAATTCGTTTGAGGGAATGAATATGCGGTAATCAGCCACAGATACTCGTATTTCTCATTAATAACATTTCATTTCCAAAAAAAGTTATCTTCAAATTTAACCTTACTCACCCTCCTGCTCAATCTCATCCTCTTCAATCGGGTCTTTTCCACAACACTGATATCTCTGGAAAGCGACAGCAAATTGACAACTGAAAGTAGCCGGACATCCTTTGTTTTCGGGATTGAATGGATCACAAGCAACGACTTCATTCTTCTTTGCATACGCATATTCTCCAGGAGGGCATCCTTCGGATATCGCATTAATCTCTCCACGACAACAGAATCCACTCATTGAGGAGGGGGTTTGTTTATGACAGCGATAACCAACTGGACATGAGATGAATGCTCCTGGAGTACAGATTCTAGGCATTTTCGATTTTTCGTCCATCAAGAATTCCGAATCTCCTTTGCATACATCTGAAATTAAATGATTATTAAATGTCTGAACATTTATATTAAGAAAGAAACTAACTTCTTGCCGAACAGCAGAATCCTTGAAGCACATTTTTCGATCTGCTCTGGCAACTATATCCATCTGGGCATGTGTTGGGATTGTTCAGAGTACATCTAATGGGAAGTAAGGTTTTTTTGGCCCGGAATAGAGCACGACCGTCTGGGCACACATCTGGAAAATTCTTCTCTTATTTTTCTAACTCAGCAGTTTTGAAGAAGCTATCGTTACAGCCTTGCTCACTCACTTTCAGTTGTTGGAGCACAACAGTAGTATCTATTTCGTTGAGCATTGAATCTGCACAGAAAATCTGCTGGACAACTTCCAGGAACATTGATAGCACATTCACGAACAGTTTCATCAAGAGAGTTGATGAATGCACGCTCTTCCGATGGACAAACATCTGACAATAAAATATAATGATCAACATTGAAAAAATAAAATTTACCCATGCTTGTAGATCCGCAACAAACATATCCAGAAGTCAAGGAGTTAAATCTACACTGGAAATTGGCTGGACAGCTGTTGATGAGTACATTATTACAGTCGAATGCTTTCTTTGTGTTCACATCCTTAAACGCAACTTCACCGACAGCACAACCAGCAGAACTACAGAAATTATTGCATTCTGTTTGAGTAGCAAAGTTGTTCAAATTTCCGTTACATCCATTGTACTGGAAAGTTGCGCATTCCTGTAAACATTTTTTGATCTACAAAAATTTGATCTGATTTTTCCCGAATCTTATTGAGCCCATTTCGGGTTAGATGTTTCTAGCTATGTATTTATGTCGCTATGATTGAGTGTACTTATTTTTATTCTAAACTAATCTGTCTATTATTATACCAACGCTGTGAATATTGCACATTAATAGTAAATCATATTATTCTAGCACGGCCTCGCGGAAGAGAACCTTGACTTAAAAATTGGAAAGCGCGCCAAGTTTGGACGCGTTGCGCGGTCGCGTCGCGGCTTTTCGGTGAGTAGCGACTCAACAACGCTTAACTTCACGTTTTTTCAAAACATGTTTTGAAATTTTCGAATCTGGCACGCAGCCAACTTTTGTGTGCGACGAAGCTCGCGTTTTTCAGGTTCCCAACCGCGATTTTTCAGGTTCCCAACCGTGTTCTAGACAACGTACTTTCACGTGAGATCATAGTTCGAGATCTGGTAAAGTTCGATCGCTTTATTTTTTTCAACCCTGCATAAATTCTCGACAAACCCTTGTAACGATATTGAAATAATATCTGCCCACAGATATTTTGGAGCAATGGTTTCCTTGTTGAGGGGGTTGACTACAAATGTGTTGTTTAGTTGGGCAACAGCGATTTCCCACATTTCCATTCACAGGAATACTCAAACATTCATGTGTAGATGGGCATGATTTGTTCTCCGAGCAACTCATTGGTTTATTCGTAGCTTCATCTCTCAATGGCATGCCTCCATTTGGACATCCACCTACTCCACAGTAGTGTTGGCAATCTTCCGAAGTGAGGAAGTTGTTGGCATTCCCATCACATCCCTCGTATTGGAATGACTCGCATGATTGTTTGTTAGAGTTGAAATGGTATCTGTAAGACCGTCCCGACCCACACTGAACACCCTTGTCTGGGTTTAACGAGCAGGTAAATGCTTTAGTGGGGCAGCATCCGTGAGTTGTACCATCGAAAGAGCATACATAGTTTACAGGACACTTTGGTCCATTTTGCTTATCAGAGCATTGCTGGAAATTTCCATTGCGATCTCTGAATGCACGACCGTGTTGGCATTTTGGCTCCACTGAAAAACATGGGTTGTGCGGATGATTCTATGTTTCGTGCAAACCGTTAATTCCTCTACACCTCTGCTGACAAGCCACGAGTGTTGGGAAGTTGTTATCATTTCCTTGACACCCAGTGTACTGGAACATCTCACAAGTCCTTGTAGCTGCGTTATACCAATATCTTCTAACTGCCGAAGTGCAGTCACCAAGTCGTTTTGGTTGGGTACATAGTGACTGGGCGGTTGGGCAGCACACTTTGTGACTTCCTTGACAAGAATGAGAGGATGGACAATCTGCATTTGTCTCGCATCTCTGCCATTCTTCCCCAATCCTTAGAGGGTTTCCGTTTTCACATACTACTGAAATTGTTTCACTGTTGAACCTATTGCTCGAAATCACTCACACTTAGAGCAGAACGATTCACAATCTTGTTTCGTTAAAAAGTTGTTATAGTTTCCGAGTCCTTGGTACATAAAATTTACACATCTTCCTTGATCGATATCGTAATAGTACCGGGTGACTGATTTGCTGAAAATACATAGATATGAAGGAAAGTGCTAAATAAGATATCGAGGAAAATGTTTGTATCTGATATTTCTTAACGTACTGTCCAGCAATCTGCAATCCACGATCATAGTTCTCTGGTGGTTTTGTCAGTAAAAGACGTCCTCCGTTAGCACTACAGATATGGGCAGCTGTTGGACAACATGTTTGTTGGGATCCGATTAATGTACACTGGTGATCCTGGTCACATCTGGAAGTGGATGCCAGGCAGTTGGTTCGTGGTACCTCATCAAGGATCGAAAACTTAGAAGAGGCGAACTCTGGACCTCCGCGACGACATGCTTAAAGTTAGATATTTGGTTTCAAACAAGGTGAGAGAACTTACTATCTCTACAGTAAGATTCGCAATGCTCAGCGGTCCTGAAGTTGTTTGGCGATGCATTGGTAATGGTATCCGGATCCCACATGAATTGCACACAAGTTCCTGTAGCCGAGTTGTACCACCATCTAGGTACAGATGGCTCATCTCCAGATTCCAAAGGTTGGATGCAAACAAAGGCTGTAAAAATAATTATAACTTTTTACCCATTTGGAAAAGGTCCTACCTCGATTATGACAACATATACCATCGACTTTCTCTGAGTATTCAGAAAATAGATCGTTGTTGACTTGTGGATGGCTGATACAATTGTATGTATCGGCAATGTAGACGTCCTGTTCACCGTCCGGATACACACACCAAGTGGACCCATCCCCACCGTTTGATGTCCGTGTTTCGGAGGAAAGCGAGTTGCAAAGTACTGGCCTAGAAACAGATGACTGATCTTTCTTGAATTCGAGAAACAAATACTAAAGCTACTGCCTGAATCAATTTTTCATGCGCGTATTTTTATTTCTTCGAGACACTAACTTTATACTATAAAACGCAAGACTCTGAACATTCAAACTTACATATAGTTCCCTGGATTCAATGGATGCGTAGATGGATTGGCTAGAACAGTAGCCGGATTTGGATTTCCATTATGTGCTTCTGGTAACGGGCAGGCGGGTGGTAGAGCAGATGATATGCACACTGTTCCATCTCTTGTTCTGCTTGGGACAGTCTCTTTTGGACATTCACATAGACCAGCAGAAGTACAAGTGGTTCCCGGCCAAACGGCTTCACACTGTCGATTCTCAACGCATCCTGATTCTCCTGGGTTGACTTCTGAAAAATTCTAGATCATGTCTTCCAACTCAACGATATTTTCAAATGCCCAAGTATAAATTCCACCCATCGCATCACCATATCGCTTACTTGGCCAACAGTGCTGAGAAATTGATACGAAATCACTCAAGCAACTGCAAACTCCTCCACCACAGAACATTCCTCTTTGACAATCAGTGTTGAAATTACACACGTCACCAACACGGAAGATCCCGTCGTAGCTCTCCGTCTTCTGATGTGATTATCTGTCGTCTCTTCTTGTACACATTCTCTTGTGATTTGGTTGAACACCGCAGGCGGCATATTGCGGTATGAGCAATCGAACTGAATCACCTGCAAACGAAAACAGTTTTTGACTGGGGATTATGTTTGGTCATTTTTTGTTCTGTTTGACCAACATGACCATTTCTTTTTTTTGCACTTACTTCGCCATCTACGCACATGAAGTATTTGGAAGGTGTGTAAACTACTTTCCTGTAAAGAAGTTAGATTGTGTGATGTCGTAAAAAAAACCTACTTGGTATCGTTGTTACATGTATATACTGGTAGCCTATCAAAGTCATTGCATGGCTGTCCCACTTTTACTAATTCGCATTCGTCACAATAAGCATCTTCTTCACAATAAGATTTGGCCAGTTGAGTTACTGTAATTCGCAAATTTTTTTTGAAAATCGGAAGTTTGACTAGACAAAATGTATTCAACTATTGTCTAACAAATTGTACTTACAGTATGCTGTACACAAAAATTGGAAAAGCCAACGGCGAGGAGGCCTTAACCGCATATCTTCTGTGAAAGAGCAAAATGCTGAAAACCAGAGATAAATTTAGAATGTGAGATTGAAAAAGTTAGATAAAAAATGTATGTATAATTTTATAATCGAACTGTGATGTTAGAATGGATGTTCGTTGAAAGAAAGATACGAAGGGTATCTAAAATTCGAGATGTGAAAAATATTCTCGGAAAACTTTGGATTTCCGGAGTGCTTTCATACTTGTGGGCATTAAAAATTCAGACATTTAAGATTCGAATACAACAAAATTACAAATTAGTTGGGAGACCAAGAATCAATGTAACCAAAAAAATCAGAAAGTATAAAAGTTGGTCTAGTTATAAAAGATATCCCATCAAATCGGGAAGTAAAACTGATGATATGTGTGGTTATAAGAATATGAGGGGCGTGTGGTTATCACAAAAAGTGATAAGAGGTCGAGGAGTCAGTTCGTGCATCTCGGTGCTCGCCTGATACAGTATCGTCGGACATGAGGTTGAGAGAAATCATAGTGATAAATGGATACTCTATATCTCATCAAGTGGAGGTCACACTCCCGAGAGATTTTCACGCGTTTTGACACCTCTTATGAACTTTTTCACCCACTTTTCCCATTGAAATACGAACCGTCTTTTAGTATTTGCTCTCTGATACGAAGAAACTTGCTCTTTTTTCGGACAAAATACGCGCGGAAATGATGCATAAAGATAAGACATTAAGGGAGTGTCTAGACAATTTTTATTGTCAAACATTATATCCTTTTCTCAGTTTTTTAATCAGGGGTTGGATGAAAAATAGCTGGTGGATTGAACTGAAGATGATTGTCTGTATATACAGATTTGTACTAGGGATTTGTACTAGGGGAAGTACAAAATTCTGACCTACTACAAATTAAAAAAAATTCGATCTACAAAATTTTTCGATTTCTGATCTACCTAAATATTTCTGATCTACCAAAAAAGATTAACGTTGTTTCTAATTTCTGGAACGATTCTTCACTTTCTCGTTTTTTATTTGTTTTTTGCATCGTCTACCTTACAATCAACGGTTTTTAGTAGTTTTCTGCATTTTCTTTCATTCACGAAATTAGATCATTAATTGTACTCTATAAATCCAAAATATCAAATAGGTGAAACCCTGAAATCTTGGTTCATTATTTTCCTAGTCTAGTCAAGAATGACGCTGCCTCGCTTCCTTTTTTTTTGCAATATCCTGGGAACACTTTTTTAAACGAAAACACATAGTTCAAAAGCAACACTTTCCCTCTGCTCTCCATTGAAAATAAAATGTAGCATAACTTCTTTCTAGAGTAAATAAGACCAATCTCTGTTTTTAAAAATAGATCAAATAATTGAAATTCGATCTTTTTTATGTTTCTGGGGTTGTGGCTGCTTTTTGATTTCACATAAGTAAATCATGTGAGTTTTGAAATACTATTTTTTTAAACAAAAAAACGAATTTTAGACTTTCCGGAAATTTGTTCAAGCTAAAAAATTTCTAATCCAAGTCGATCAGCCAAAATTTGTACTATTTCCAGTTCTTTTCTCAGTAAAATAAGTATATTCCACATGCTTTTGTTTTCTCGCATTATTTTTTTATAATTCCGTCCCCTTTTCCCCGATTCTAGTCTATTCCTCTGTGACTCCTTTTTTTCCACAGTGTCTGCTTCTCCTCCTTCTTTCTCTTTCTGAGCACCTTCACTCTTTTCCTTGCAATCACTTGCTTTTCTATGTTTCAAATAAACCATTGCGTTTCATTTCTCCCGTGCCGTCGATAGCTCAGTTGATAGAGCGGAGGACTGTAGAGTCAGTGGGTATCCTTAGGTCGCTGGTTCGAATCCGGCTCGACGGTTTCTTTTCTTTTGCATTCCTGTTTGAAAGATAAGAAGTTGCAAGAAGTTTCTCGTGCCAATCAAATCAAACTAGATTTCAATCACAAAGATAAGAGTGACTCCGAATACTGCATTTTTGAATCATAGCATCCGTTTCTTCTCCATCTGATTGTCCTTCTTTATTGCTTACTAGATTGACATGCCTCCCCTTGTCAGAATTTACTTTCAGCTCGGTTCCACTTCGGTGCAACGCTCTCTAGATTTCGCTGGGCGTGGGCAGCACCATCAGCTCAATCTCCCTTTAATAGTAATAAGAATAAAATTAAACAATCAGACGAAACAGTTAGGTATTTATTGATATTTGCTCAGAAAGCCTTTTGGAAAATACTTTTCTTCGTACTTTCCTGGCCCCATTTCGTAGTTTCCGCTCATAAAGAGTCATCCACTCTCATCTTGTTAACAATCCGCTTATAACATGCCAAGAAACTCTTATCATCTTTTTTCATATCAGGTTACCCCTCTAAAATCACCCGATATGGGCGTCTTTTCCTGAAATACAGTATCCTCTGAAAATGATTTGAAACAGAAAAGGAAGAGAATTAATGCGAAGAAAGGTTTGAAGCCGATCATTTTATTATGTGTATTGAGTAAAGTTTTAGGTCTCTGATAATTTTATTTTTGATCGGATTGCTCCTTTTGATAATGTATTTTAGTAAACAACATCAGGTATAAATTCTAAGCTCCGCCCGTTTACTAATTGAATATTTACTAAAGAATAGTCATAACTAAGAAAAAATCATTCTTAGGTGGTAAAATTGTTTTAAAACTTACTATAAAAACCCATAAAAACCTTAAAGCCTATGCTTTGGAATTTGTAGAAGGATAAAATTGAACTTTCCACATATGGCTTCACCTTTTATACCTTAACCTATCTGTCCCGTGAAAATTGTATTTTTTCAGTTCCAAACCGTCAAAGAAAGAAAACTAGAAAAAAGTATAGGCTTATTTTGCACCGGGTCCAGTGAACTAATTTAATTTTTAACTACCATTTTTTCTTTGGAGGCAAATTTTTTCTTTCAATTTTATATTTTGTAGTCTTTATTAAACTCTCCAGATGATGTACTTTGAGCATTTGAACTCTTATTATCAAATGCATTGTCCGTATCACCAAATTGATTTTTTTAAAATGACGATTTTCAAAGTATGAGTAGGTATAGCAGACCACTGATACTGTGGCTATGATCATTTCAGTTTTTCAAAAAATAAATGCTTGGAAATATAACTTTACTAGGTGGCAAAAATGACTGAAACATTTCTTTTAGATAAGTTCTCATAACAGCACTTTTAGATAAGTTCTCATAACAGCACAATTGCTTTATTCAGTTTTTAATCGTACTTTAATTTTCGAAATGTTTACCCTTCTCTCGTTCATAATCTGTTCATGAACTTTGTAAGCACCGACTACGTGACTTTTGTCATCTATTTTGTCAAAATCTGTATTTTCCTAGACTCTATATGAAACTCCTTATAATATGTTTTAAGCTGATTGTCTAGGTTTTATGTCTTTTCGAAAAAAACACAAGTCTCAATAAATAGACTACTGCAAGTTTAAGTTATGTTCTTATTGACCAGTTACTCTGGTCAAATATCAAGAACTAAACTTACTAACAAACTGACTATGAGTTGGGACATGGGGAGAAATTGTTCGCCGAAAAGAAAAGAAAAGCAAAGAAGGGGAAAATAACATAATAATTAATGACTGAAGACTTTTTATCAATTTTTTTCTTTTCTTCCTTGCCTTTTATATATTGACAAAATGTTGATTCTTTGATACTTTCAAAATATATTACCTATTGTATTATTCTATTGTTATCTTCCTCCCGAAAACGCCAACAAACACCTGAAATGTATAAATTGATGGTTGAAAAAGTTCATCTTGGTATTTGAATGTTTATACAAGTTCCATATGAACGAAAAATGACATTAATATATTTTTATCAGATGTTGATTCGAAAGCAAAAAGCATGTGTAGCCTGGCCACATATTTTTAGAACTCTGTAAACATTTTAATGGATTTTGCAGTGTTATCATGCTCGAAACACCCACGAAAATTTTAGGTACTTTATTTTTATAGAAATAGTTTTTACACGATCATACAGAAATTAAAAAATCTCTCTCCATATTTCCCTCTTTTTGATGATCTGATGATCTGTTGCAGCATTAAAAAAGTAACTAAAAACTATGTATTTTCAGCCCTTGTTCTCCCTCAATTTGCATAATCGGATGAAACCACCGTAACCTTTTTCTTCTTCACGCTCTCCTCTTTCCACTCTCACTAGAAAATGAAGATGTCAGAAGAGGAAGAAGACGTCGGATACACGTCCCCACTCATGTCACCTCACTTTGCACACTCGACATCTTCGTATTCCAAGTCATCAGAAGGTATTGGCAAGAATCAGAAGAATCAAATGAAAAGGATGGAAGAGGAAGCTAATATACCGGTGATCACGACTGTGGATGAGTTGTTGAAAGCGACGACTGCGTGAGGGATTTTTTAGAACTTTGCTTTTAAAAAATGCGAAAATTTCAGATGGCGTCCTTATCCCCTATTCATCATTTTTGTCATGTCATTCCTATGGTCTCTATGTGCTCTCAGTGCGATTTCGCCCGCTTTCACAGCTCCAGCCGGGGATGACTGCGAGAACAACTGCTCCTTCTACACAATCCAACACGATTTCAATTTAACGGCTTCTATCTCACTCCTGGAGCCTGCCGAGTTAACGACATCGATCTACTTTTTGGGAAATCTGCTTATTGGTCAACTGTTTGCAGTTCTAGCTGATAGGTATTGTAGTTGACCTCAGAGATTTTTTACTTATTTATGTGTTCAGATTCGGTCGGCGTCCTATCATCATTCTCTCACTCCTCTTGACAGGAATCGCGGGATCACTTGGATCACTGGCTCCTAATTTTCCACTTTTGTTAGTTGCCAGATTCATTCAGGGATCTTGTTATACTGTGAGTTATCTACAAACTCTTCATTTAACTCTATATTTCTTTTTTTCAGCCGCTCACAACAGTCAACTATGTTCTCAGTGGAGAGAGCATTCCCCACCGATCACAATCGCTCACTTCTATATTTTTCGGTGTCTCTTGGGTGTGTGGGTACTGTTTCTTGGCTCCATTATCCGTATGGTTCCCAACGTGGCGCAGTTTACAATTTGTTACATCCGTTCCAAATGTGGCAGTTTCTCTGTTCTTGATGATGTAGGTTGAAGAAACGTCTTATGAAATGAAATTTTAATTTTAGGACCCTTCCAGAAAGTCTCAGCTATTCGATAGAGAAGAACGATAGGAAATCGGTTGCTGAGTGGATAAAAAGGAATGAGCTGTTCTCGTGTCGAAAACTCAATTACAATCTAGATGCAGTTATGAGCATTAATGAGGAGAAGGCGGAGCAACGTCTGACAATCTATCAAATGTTCCGGGAGATTCTAGGAGATAGGTCGATTACAAGATGCATGATTGTGGAGACATGTCTGTGGATTCTGACGTTTATGACTTATTGTGCACTATCACTTACTTCCACATCGGTTGGGAATTCTGATCCGTTGGTTTCGTTCACGTTCTCGGGCGTTGTTGAACTACCTGCGTACCTCTTCTCCCAATATGTCTCAAGTGGTGAGTTTAAAAAATAGTACCTATAGGTACCTATAGTTACAGTATGCAATATGATATGAAATTTAGCCATGATCAGCAAGAACGTACAATTAGTATCCCATTTAATGTGAATCCCTATTATTGAAGTGAATCTGAAATGATGGTTTCACCAAGAAGTGATGGCTCTAGTACAAAATTCTGGTCCTTAGAAATAAATGGGGCATGACCTAGAAAAATTGAGTCATGACCTAGAAAAAATTAGGTGATGACCTAGAAAAAATTGGGTCATGACCTAGAAAAATTGAGCCATGACCTAGAAAAAATTGGGTCATGACCTAGAAAAAATTGGGTCATGACCTAGAAAAAATTGGGTCATTACCTAGAAAAAATGGGGTCATGGCCTAGAAAAAATGGGGTCATGACCTAGAAAAAATTGGGTCATGACCTAGAAAAATGGGGTCATGGCCTAGAAAAAATGGGGCCATGACCTAGAAAAAATGGGCTATGACCTAGAAAAAGTTGGGTCCTGACCTAGAAAAATTGGGTCATGACCTAGAAAAATTGAGCCATGACCTAGAAAAAATTGGGCCATGACCTAGAAAAAATTGGGTCATGACCTAGAAAAATTGAGTCATGACCTAGAAAAAATTAGGTGATGACCTAGAAAAAATTGGGTCATGAGCTAGAAAAATTGAGCCATGATCTAGAAAGAATTGGGTCATGACCTAGAAAGAATTGGGTCATGACCTAGAAAAAATTGGGTCATTACCTAAAAAATCTATGTCGTGACCTAAAAAGATCTAGGTAGTGACCTATTTTTTTACATCTTTGAAAGTGATTTTATTACACCTGATCAATAAACAAATTAAATTTTAAAAAAAGTGATCAACTTTTTTACCGTTTACATTATTTCTTTTTTGTTTCTCGTTCAGTTTCCATGAGTTCTCCTCTATTCTTGGAAATTCTTTTCAGTTCCAAAAAATTAGTTGAACACTTTGAACTCAATTATCTCGATTGCTGTGAAAGATATCAAGACGTGGTAAACTGATAAAATGTTTGTTATAAAATGCTTGACATTTTATCAGTTAAGACTTTCCTGACATCGATATTCTATATTAAAGTTCATATTTTCCCAAATGATAAATTTGAACGACAACCATGAAATTCTCAAAAATAAATTGAAATAACGATATTCACGAATTCGGAGTTTTCAAATGAAAAATATATATTTACATTAACACCGTTTAAAAACCAGAATTTCATGCTAGAGGCGAAGTGGTTGCCTAAAAATTGTGAATGGAATTTTAGGGCCTTTCCAGACCATTTTCCTACACCGTATTTAATTACACTCATTTTTAAGGGCAAAACGGCGCCCAACTCGATTTATGTGTCACTTGACTGGTGCGTTGGCTCTTCTCACTATGTACTTCCTCTCTCCCGACACATCCTCCCATCTCATCATTTGGCTCATAGCAAAACTTTGTGCCGCCTGTTGCTACATCTTCTGCTTCATTTATGCTGCCGAACTGTTCCCCACCTTCTGCCGGTCGTGTTGCATTGGAGTGTGTTCGACGTGCTGTAACATTGGAGCTATTTTGGCTCCTCATATTTTCGCAATCGACGCTTTAGCTCCGGGTTCCCAGTTTTTGGTGCTTGCTTCTGTTGGTTTGACATGTTCAGTGCTGACATGGTTTCAGAAGGAGACCAAAATCTAGTTATTCTCTTTTACGTCCTCTCTGTGAAATTTCAGTTTGACTAACTTTAAAATCAACGAGTTCTTCCCCCAACTGCAACGTGTATTATTTTCTTCATGTATTACTCATGCTACCTACTGCCTCAGTTTTTTACACACCACTTTATTATGAATAAAGTTGTCTGAATTAGAAAAACATTGTTCTACTGTTCGCGGAAAACTTTTTCAAGGCTATACTGGCTTTTCCTCTAGAAAAATACACCCGTTTCTGTTTTTTCGATCCATTCATCTATTGTACTGTGCGTATGTATATTTCTCCACTTTATTCTTTTCCGGGGAAGAAATCGGAATGGGAAAGAAATAAGCAAGTATTAGAATACGAAAAGGTAGTAAAATAGAAGAAAGATTTGCCATTTTTCTGCCTCTTTCATCGTTTTAAAAATGGTGAATTAGTGACGACGAGGACGTCCTTTTTACTTCTCTGGGTTTCCAAATTATACATTGTTCTGCTTTCCCCCGAGCTGCTACTGTCTTCAGTTGAGGTCTTGAGAAGAATTCAGAATACGAATACACTTAAACATAAATCACTCAATTCTGAATATAAGAGAGATCAAATTTCAAAATTTTCACGTTTGAGAGAAAATAATCGAAAAAGAGAAATATTATGAGAATTTACACATTAAAAATAATGATTACAAAAAAAGTTATTTTTAAATGGGAATTTTATTATTTTCCCCAGAAAATGTAGCGTGAACATTTATTTTCATTAAATCAGGGTTTTCATGAAAAATCCACAATTTTTTGATTTATTTTTTAACGTTTTTATTAAAATTAAAGAACAAAAACACAGAATCGTTCTGCAGAACATATCTATGAGAGAAAAATATGCCGCGAAAGTTAAATCACAGAATCGTTCTGCGGAACGATTCTGTGAAGAACACAGTTTTGAATAGAAAAAAAATTTCAATTTTTTCTGCGTGAGCACAGTATTTTTCAAAAAATTCGTTTTGAAACTCCAAACGTGAAAATTTTGAAATTTGATCCCTCTTATATGCAGGCATTTTTAATGCCGATGCCTTCAGAAGACATGACTACGGTTCCACTGTCACGGTCATCAGTTAATCGTTTCCCTTGCGTTTTTTTGTTTTTTTTTGTGATTTGGATAATAGGAATAGAAAACAAGAAGGTCAAGTGACTCTGAAGCAAGGTTGCAATTCTGAGATTTTCAAGAATAGTCGTGAAGTCCAGGCCTTTGTCGGTTATCCGAATGTCATTCGTTACGTAACGAATTGGTAAGATTTCGATCTTCTAGTCAGTTTCGTCTTATTTAATGAACCACGAAGATCTGTAATCTACATTATTAGTTTTAGAGCTAAAAAACTCGCAAGTCGCAAGTTTTTTGTTTCGAAAAGCTTTTTCTTCAAAAGTTCATTTAGTATATAAGTTCAGAATCGGTAGTTCTGGACATTTTACTGTAACTATGGACAACTAAAGTTATAGTGGGAGGAAAATATATTCAAATAGAACAATTTTTTAACCATCTTCCAAAAGTTTATGCATTTTCCTATGGATTTCGCCTTAACCTAAAATAATGGGTCAACCTTGAATCAAAAAAAATCAATCACTACTGTAACTATTTCCAGTTCCTATCCAAACAATTATTAAAGCATCAATAAGCAGTGTAAAAATTATTATATTCTAGATATCTCGTTTCTCCCAACCAAAATTTTTCTGATTTTTCACATAGCTATCGTTTGAATATTTCTTCATGAATCATCTAAAATTATAATCCAAAATGACATGCCTATATTCATTCTTCTTTTCCATATCAGCTTTTTCTTCTCTCTTTGTCGGTCAGAAAATTCAACAGGCGGTAGGGGTACTTTCCATTTTCTTCTTCTTTTTCTTTTTCCAATTTCTTCAGGATATCCAATATCCCCCTCCATTTCTTCTGGCCATTTTCACTTTTCAAGAGTGATGATCGAGAATATATGCAAATTGTTTTCATTTTCTCTGTGTATCGTCTTCTTAAACGTTATTTCTCATATGTGTTGACCGTTCGGATAGTCTGCTCAACTCGAGTGGAAAGTCGAAGAGAGCATGTGCACTATTTCTCTTTGTGTTATTGGTTTCTATCTATTGTTTCTCGTTCTATTGTAGAATTTTTGCCACGTGTACTGTTCACAGTGTCGATCTAAAATAGCTGTTCACAGTGTCGATCTAAAATTTTAGTAGGCGAACATACTAGAAAGATTATCCATGAAGTCGACTACAATATCAAAGTCCTTCAAAAAAAAAAGAAAAGCCTAATTTTGACTTGTAAAATTGATTTTTAATCTTCTATTCAATTCAAATCTGAATTAGAGCTCTTTCCCAACAAGACCATTCTTGACTCTAATTATCACTGCAGTGCAAATTTTCATAAATCACATCGTTTTCCTTTCAATTCTACCGCTACACGACTACCCTTCAATCTCTGAACTCCCTCTTTTTTTTCACATTAGAATGTCAAAGCACGATCCGATTTACCAGAATTTCCGAAAAAGATAAAAAAAAAGAGGGCCGCCCAAAAATGTGTAGATTGGATTAGGAGAATGCCTTTTGTTCTCGACAATCAATTCTCGAAGTTATATCCTTTTCGATTTTCTTATTAGATTATTTTTCGCTTCTGGATAATGAGTTCCGCCTTGTAGGATGGTTTTGCCTTCATATAGTTGAACGAATCTAAAAATGGAAGAGCCATTGGTTTTAATTTTCTTTCTAATTTTTTTAGGTTACGGTAGTTGACGTTGTAGGCCCTATGACCCGGCTACCGGTGTTTTTCTTCCGCAGCTCCGATTTTTTGTACTGGCATGATACTTTCACCGTTTTTATTTTGTAGATCAAGAACGAGCAGAACAGCCTTTCGACAACTTCTAGGATATCTTTTCATATTGTTTCTCTCTGGCTGGCGAACCCATGATTTTAAGCTCGTTCTCTTACAATACTCGTTCTTACTCGTTCTTGTTCTCGTTCTCTTACGTTCTCTTCTTAAGCTCGTTTTTGTTAGTTTTTTGTAAGCTTGGATAATGCAGGAATACGCGTACCGATTGACTTTGAGGAATTTTATAGCCATTAGACAGCAATCATGGAAGGTTGAATATCTAATAAGCATAACTTTTTTTTGATTGGGGAAGTCAAGACGCTAGGTGAGAAAAAGAAGGTGAGAAAAGAAAACGAGAAGGATTATGATTATTCGTTGTTCCGACACTTAGGTGGTGAGCCTGTGTCGGAGCGAAAGTAGAAGGATAGGAACATTAGTTACTCTGCAACTAGTTTATTCCTGTATTAAGGCTCTGATTCGGGATCTTTGAAGCTTCTGTATTAGGGGAGTTTTCGGAGAGACGATGACCACCAGATGAGGGTTCCAGATTGGAGAGAGAAGATAAACCATCCTTTGGCAGCGGGGAGGAGGTTATAGCATGAAGATGTGGCATCGGTTGTTTGGCTCATCCGCAAGCATCAGCTGTTGGGATCATTCGTCAGCGAGTCCCTTGGAAGGAGATCCTTTGGAAGTGATCATTGTCTCAGATGTCTCATCATACTGGCGATTCTGCTTCCTTTTATAGCATCTCCTCAGCATATCCACTATTATGCTCTAGATCTGATATGGTGATAACGCCAAATATGCAGAGTTAACTAGTTGGAGAATTGTGTTTATGACTATTTGTGTCATTCTAGATGTGCTCTAGTATTGTTGGATTTGAGGTCGTGCAGTAGAACCTCTGCTGCCGCGACATTCGTCATGAAGAATTAGCTTGTTTCATTTAATTTTTTTTCTAGAGGAGAGGTGACATACATGATAACCAGAGAGGCTGGTTTTTTAAAACAAAATGTAATAAAACATGTAGGCTCCGCCGCGTTTGAATTAGTATCTCTGAATTTCTGTAAACATGAATTTTTGTTCCAAACTACACGAACCATTGGTTCCAATGATCTTTTCCACTCAACCGTTCTTTCACTTGCTCGACACTTTTTCAACCTCACACCAAGGGAACTAATTCCATTCGTTTCCGAAAACCTACTGTTCTCATTTTTCCATCGCCCCGTTTTCTTGTCCGGTGTGTATGCGCCCGTGTTAGAAGATGAAGAAAAAGAACATGATAAATTGTATTGTTTGTTATTGTTTGCCAATCATCTTATTCTCGCCCTCCCCCACTGGGTTTTCCGTTCCACTCAGAAAAACCCCAGGAGAGGTTGAAATGAACAATCGGTTTGTACGGTACTGGGAATGCAGTTCTTCAGGGTCAGCGTGGAGTATGTTGGACTATGCTTTGCTCAATTAGATTTGCAATGAACTTCAGAATACTAATGTAGCTAAGTTTTTTTTTCAGTTGATTGTCTCGAGTTTCTTTCTTACTTTTTGGAAGTAATCAAATTATCCAGAACTCTCATTTCTATGTCAGATTTTGAAACGATGGGTTTTTTGTATCATGTTCGCTGTTCAGAATAATAAAACACACCCTCTTCCCATTTTCAACACATTGAGAAGGTGATAAAACAAAGAAAACTGTTGAAAATTATATTTATCGAAACAGTTTTACTTGAGTTTTTGAAAAATCTCACTTGTCAAGGAATCAAGTAATGGTATAAAAGTTACTCCAACTGAAGCTTTGACCGCATTTCATAGCTCTTCAAATATCTCAGAGGCATGAAAGGAGCACACTCATTGACCTACCAGATTTTTCGTCCGACTGAACACCATTTTCTTGATTACCCACCCCATGCCTCCAGTTTGTCTAGTTCCCGTTGCCTTCTGATGCTCAGTGAGTAATTGCTACCTTCCATGCTCTCCTGGCGAACTCTCACTCTCTATTGTTTTTCACTTTTCCTTGCTAAAACAAATATTTCAGTGGAGCTTGGAGCATTTGAAGAGAAAAAGAGCACCAGCCGCTCTTTCCTCCTGAAAATCAGGAAACCAGTTCACCGGATAGTAAAGAAAAAGATAGGAGAGACACAGAAAGAACTAAGAACACGTGTAGT